GTCTGGCTGTCCCCACAAGCTTTTTGCCTCACACATCAATTTTATCTCTATTAGTATGGCTTTTTAAACATTCCACCAATGATTTTTCAGGGCATAGGTGTTTCAGTTTAGTAGTTAGTTAAGCCATTTAATCCACMGCATTATTCCATTTAAATCTTTTACTGAATTGTTGATTAAAATAGAGGGAAAAGGTGTTTCTAGTAACTGTACATCTTAGTGTCCTCTTCTTAAAGTTTTTTTCATTCTGAGCACCTTCCAAGCATCTGAATATTTATCCCATTCATGAAAMGGTTATCAAGGCTTTTAATAATATTTTTGTTTCTGTCAAGCTTTAAGGTGATAGTCCATARATTTAATTGTAGCCAAAGGAAAGGGCTTTTGAGACCTTCCTGGATTTTTCAGTGTCAGGGTTTCAGCAGATGCAGATTTTTAGTGAAGTATRGATCATATAGTGTAGCTTGGAACTGATACTAAAGTGATGCAGAAATAAAAGTCAGAGAGAAGGGTATAGATACAACAAGTTTGTTCAGAAATCCTAGCTTAAATGTACAGATCTGAAAGGAATCTACCACCAAGTTCATTTTTGATGTGAATTTAATCTTTTATTAAGAGATCTTGAGATTAAAATGACCATTTCATATGTCATTTTTCAGCTCTCAGTCTTCTTAAAATAACAGAGTGCAGATGAAAAAATGAAAATTACCAAACTAATAGTTTGTCCTCCTTAGTCCCTCTTGACATTTGCWGTTTCATTGTGCCTCTTTAACTTGTTTTCATTCTGGTGTCTTAAGAGCTGTAATTGTATGTGTGTGGATCCATGATTGCATGTATGCACATACACACAAATATACATATGCAAAACAGTCTGAAAATACTGTCTTACTATATGCATATTATGCACCAATCATTTCAGTTTTAAGCAAATTTAAGATGCCATTGCATGTGGGATCTCTCTAACCTAATCTAGAATTTTCCATTTTRGCTATTTAAGTATGTTGTTATCCCACAGATTCTTTTATAGCCAACAAGGAGAAATCAGATTAAATAAAGAAATTCAACTCACCTTTGAATTAGACTTAAGCTAGAGATGATGAATAGCTATAAATGATAAAGGGAAACATGGAGAGGCACAGGAATTTAACYTTTCTATGTCAAAACTTAGCTTTATGTATCCCAACCTCCATTAMTCACTTTATATGCTTACTTCCCTATCTCTGGAATACTGACACACAAACAACCTGGGAGATCCTGCTCTCTCTAAGGATCACTGGGTCAGTCCATCCTGCCTTCAGATTGCTGAAAGCCCTGTTTCACTGTCTAGAGAGACTATGACCAAACCCAAAAAATCTGCTRCCTGCAACAGCCTCTGCCTGGCTGTTCCACATTTACCTCTTCTCCTTCCATGTTATTCTGGCTTTATGTATTCTCTCCCTGCACCTGAGGTCACACAGAACCCTACTGGAGATAGATTCCCAGCCCTGTCAGAGCTGATTTTATAAATAAGCCTTTGAATGATAGAAAATAACTTGCAATTTCAAGTTGCAGAACAAGGGAAGCCAATCAAAACATTTACAATCCTTCTGGTCCAATGACCAGTCAGGCAGTTTATATGTGCAGTTCTGGTTTTGTACAAATAGCTTTTGAAAGGTTCACCAAAATGGATTTGCATTTTATCACTCCATCACCTTCCATGTTGTACAATTCATGGGAAATTTAAGGCATTTTCAAAAATGCTTCTGAGATATTTCAAATATCAATTTAATAGGGTCATTCATTATTATGGCTGCCTTTTACAAATATTGAATCTCTTTTATGGAAGAGTTTAWAAATAAAAAATGAGCCTACAGTAAGCATCAGCCCACACAACATTGCATATTTTACCCTGTCTATCAGCATGTCTCTGCTCCTTTTTGTCTCTCCAAGAGGCATCTCAGCTAAGCAAAACACAAATATTTTTATATGAAATACAACTATGACAAGATTACCATAAGTTCTTTATTTAGGTCAAGGAGCCTAAATTATCCTTTGGTCCCAAACTATATATGACTGACAAAGAACTTACATTCACAACACATATTTTGTATTCAAATTAATTGTATCTAATAAATGATATTAAAAAGTGATGGCTTAATCCTGAAGATATCAAAATCTTTACAAAGAAGTGGTTTAGAGTTCATGATGCAGAATCACATTTTATGATTAGATTTATTATTGTTAGAAACCCCTAGCCTAGGGCTCCAACAGCCTCCAATTTGTCAAGACCTAATTCAATTTTTACAGTTAAACAGCTCTGCAAATATTTTGATATGGCACAAAATCTTGGAGGCCAGAGCATTTATGCATTAGACAATTCATGGATTGATAATTCTTTATACTGTTAGATTCATTGGATACTTAAGCAATATTCAAATTAAGTAAGTGTGTTAGTAAGTAAATACATTCCACACATATTAAACTCTGAACAAGTCTGAGGTTTCCTATATAACATGATCTTCAGTTTTCTTCTTTTTCCTTCACTTCTCACATCCTTCTTCAGTACATCAGACCATTTGTCTTTCCTCCTACTCTGTGTTTAGCAGAGTGACTATCAACACAAKCCTCTGCAGGAAGTGCCTGTCTCAGTCAAGGCACTCAGATTTTGTTCAGAGTGACTCTTGCCTAAGGGCTGGTATCTATTCTTTGCACAGCCTAACAGCTCCCTTTTAAATCAGCATCCACTTGAGCATGGAAACACAGAATCACAGAATATGCTGACTTTCAAGGAACCTACAAGGATCGTKRAGTCCAACTCTTGGCCTTGCACAGGACATCCCAAGAGCTACACCATGGGCCCAAGWGCATTGTTCAAATGTTTGTTGAACTCTGCCAGGCTTGGGACCATGACAACTTCCCTGGGGAGGAAATTTCAGTGCCCAACCACCCTCTGGGTGCAGAACCTCTTTCTAATATCCAAGCTAAACCTCCCCTGGCACAATTTCAGGCCATTTTCTTGGGTCCTGTCACTGGTCACCACAGAGAAGAGATCAGTGTCTGCCCTTCCTCTTCCCCTCAGAAGGAAGTTGTAACTGCACTAAGGTGTCCCCTCAATCTCCTCCAGGCTGAACAGACCAAGTGACCTGAGCTGCTCCTTGAGGCCTCCGCTCAAGGTTCTTCACCATCTTTGTTGCCCTCCCTTGGATACTCTCTAATAGCTTAATGTCTTTCTTACATTCCAGTGCCCAAAACCCCAGCACTCAAGGTGAGGCTGTCCCAGCACAGAGCAGAGCAGGACAATCCCCTCCCTTTCCCGGCTGGCAATGCTGTGCCTGATGCCCCCCAGGACATGCTTRGCCCTCCTGGCTGCCAGGGCACTGCTGACTCATGTTCAACTTTACATCAGCCAGGACCCCCAGGTCSCTTTCCATGGCACTGCTTTCCAGCATCTCATTCYACTATCTGTCTACAKTCAGGGTTGCCCCATCATAGGTCCAACMCTTTCCCTTGTTGAACTTCCTATGGCTGGTTCATATGGCTGGTACATATGGTTGGCACATAATTATCTCCTCCTGTCTGCTTTCTCAGCCATCACTTCGTCCCCTAGTGCCATTCTTGCCTAATCACACATCTGGGTACGTTATTCTGCACAAATGTGGAGCAGCTTGTCTTAAGGAATAGTTATCATCACCCTATGTTTGCACCAAGGATGCTCCACAGAACTCCAACACCTGAACTCACAGCCTCACAGCAGCTCATCCCTGAGCTAAAGTATTCAAATTGCACTGCAGACTTTACTGTCTATTATTATTGGTTTCTCACAGCTGTTCAAATAAACCTTAAATATACACACGGAAACAGATACCGTCTGTCCTCCATAAACATATTTTTCTAATTCAGTCCTCCATTTTTCTACACTAAATTCATGTTTCTCTCTTTCATTGCTTCACAATATTGTCTATAATCATAATCCATGAGTTTTTCCTCTGCTAGTCTGAGTCAATAGTTTTTGCAGCAGTATCAAAGATGATCTTACATAATTAAACCACCATCAAGCACACTCCTGTAATCCATAGCTGGCAGTTTCCACAAAAATAGGCATTCCCATGCTCTTCATGAAGACATCTTCACTAAGGTCACAAGCACAAAATGCACCTTATTTTGCAACCTTATTTTCTTGAACTATATATTGAAGATATTCTCAGTAATCTTTCTAGCACAGACTAAATAATTATTTATATAATATTCTAGATCACTAACAAAATATTTCCTTGAGATTCTCCTGCCATTTTTCTGTTTACTCACTTGCTGATTTAATAAATTCATCCTTGCATATTCTCTCCATGTCAAGGAAGAAAGCCTCATAGTGTGTTCAGTAATTCAAGATTATGCATTATTAGATACTTGTCTTCTCAACATAGTGGCCTTGGTCTGCATTTGACAGGAAGTCCACTAGAGTACTACACACATGCTTCTGAAGCAGTTTCCCAAATAAAAACAGCAGCATCTCAGCATCAGTTGATTTCTATTCAGGGCACAGAGAACCCAGGCTGCTGTGCCAGTAAACCTATGCCATTTAATCGGGAGGCCACTGTCAATTCTTACGTTTCTATTTGCATTCTGCTTGGTGGCATGTTTGAAGAAAATTGTATCAGCTTTGTTTACAACTTGATATATACTTGGAATATTTGTGAATATCCAACGAAGTATTTTTATATGGTATGTGTGTATGTATGTATATACATATATATGTGTGTGTGTGTATATATATATATATATATATATATATATATATATACATGAAGTTTTAGAGCAAATATAAGCATAGATTAAAAGATGATGGGTCTACACCTCTTTCCAATACGCTAAAATTCTCAAACAAGGCAAAAATGGAATAACAGTCTTATGCTGAGAGCTAGCTGTGTTCCACTGTAACAGTCAAATCTTTCATCTCCAAACTGGTCATTGACGTTTTATTACACTCATGACTGGCAGAGAAAAAGGGTAAAATAATGTACTTTACTTACCCAAGGAGTTTGACTGAATGAGTTTTCCATTTAGATCCTGCTGTATGGGAGTGTCGATATATTCCCTCTTTGTAAAGGAAAAAATCTTCATACACTTTCATTATTGCTGAAAAACAATAGGGAAAATCATCACAGTCAGCAAAGATTGCTTCTATTCTTGTTTGCTCCTTGCATTCTACCAGTGAAATTCTTCTCATCTGTTGAACTGCATTAAGTGTACTTAGTAATTACACTAGAAGCATCAATTTCTTACTAGCGTCCTGCTGTGAGCAAACCAACAGAAATACTTCAACAGAGTTCTCTCAAAGGTCTCTTACCAAGTGGGTTGTTTTTCCCTGTCATYGAAATTCCCTCTTATGGACTTCTTCCATGAAGAAAACGAGACTGTCTATACATGTAAAAATCCCTACTTTAAGCTTAAAAGTGTGGAAAAAAATTACCCCTTTTTTCATAAAAATGTAAGATGAAAGAGCTGATGAACTGGAAATTTGAACAAGAGAAAGAAAAATATAATTTGCATTTTATGCATATTTATCTTTCTTAGGAACTTCATTCATTTGTTTTTTAAGAAAATTGTTCTGGGTTTCTTTTCCACATATGTTCTGCCACCTTATTACCATTTGATTTATAGTGGGTTACCAGATCTAGAGAAAGGAAAATATTTTTCAGGTCTACATTACCTCTAGAGTCCAGTGAATCAGAAGCATTAAATACAAGCTTAACTCCAACTAATGTTTAYCTTATGATTTTAACTGCCACAGAGCTTGGAACATGAGAATTAGTGAAATCCAATTTCCTAAAGTCTTGTACCTTGGGAGTCCCATAAAGTACAAGTTTCATTGACCATTTCTTACGTGGTTGGACCATTTATAACATCGGTGCCTGGTATAGATCAGCAGTATCCAGTAAGGTGAGCTCATGCTGCAGTATTTCTCTGCCTGGCACACTTTCAAATTTCTTTTTTCTACCTGAATATTTTCATAAACTTGAAGGAAATGAACTATCTTTACTACTGCTATCACRTTTAGCTGAAAATACAAAACAATCACAAATTTTTGGGAATGAAAGRGAACTTCTCAAAACATGGTGAAATGAGTCTCTTTGCCCAGGAAACATGGCTAAAAAGGTACTTTGTTAATGATGTCACTCCCATAAAAAATATATACCGATAGCAAAACAGGGAATAAACAGACATGATGCCACCTAGGTGGCAAGCTGGGGACATGGCTATATCAGTTAAATCAGAAAAAAATGTTTTGAATGAGTAATGTTACAGCTTCTGCTGAGCTTTCTGCCAAACCAGAGCTCACACGCTATCAGCCACAGACCAAGTGGAAAAGTACAAAAACTTTATTCTTGGTTTCTAGACACAAGCTTAGGACTCCATTAGAGCTCTTTGCAAAGGTTCCCCTCCTCCCTCTGTCCCCAGGATCACCAGTATACAGAGTGAGAAGTTTAACTCCTGTAGATGTCCATGTACCACTATGTACAATATGACATGTAGAGGTTTCTGRGCAGCAGAGGAGCCTGTGGAAGGAGAGCTTCAAAGTGATACTACAAAAGGGTGAAGAACACTCCAGCTAGCCTTATTCCAGGTGAGGGTATCACAGGGGAAGTGAAGAAGGTAAGTTATAAAAAAAATTACTGTAGAGGCTTCCCTGGATCTTGCTTTGATACCTTGGCCAAAGAGAGGGGAAGAAATGAGGTTGAATTCAAATACATCAAAATTTACACCTCCCATGGGAGAACTGAGGTTYAAAGATCTCATCTGTCATCAGACTGAAACAGGAGAAAGTGGTTTCATTTCTGAGTCACATTGTTCTTAAAATCAAGGTCCATATGTTGAGTAGAAAAGAGAAAATAATCTATCCTTTATCAGCAACTCYAAATAGAATCAYAGAATGGATTGGGTTGAAGGGATCGTCATCTAGTTCCAACCCTCCTGCTATGGGCAGGGATATCTCCTTCCATTAGACCAGGCTGCTCAAAGCCCCATCCAATCTAGCCTTGAACAGGTCCAGGAATGGGATGGTGTTTCCCTGTTGGCTTCTTTTCCCTCAGGAGTCACAAACTCAACTCTGGATGACTTCAGGTGTGCTCTAGGGTGGCCAGCACATTTCAGAGTCACTGACAGGGGGCCCTCRCTGGCATCCTGTCCCTCGAAGCTTTGCATCTCATCCTACATATAGCCAAGGACAAGCCTGATAAGCCCCCTCCCTACCACATCAAGGTTGAAGCTCTGTGGATGATCAAAGACTCTCCTTCCTCTCTAAGAGGGTGAGTCCCATCTGATGCCTGCATGCCTGGTGCTCAAGCCATTCCATTGTCAAAAAAGCCCAACATTTTAGCAGTGACACAGCCATGCAGCCATGTATTAATAGACACAGCCCWCCTGTTTCTTCCAATGTTGCTACCTTCAGCTGAAAGGACAGAGGAGAATATAATCTGTGCCTCAAATGAGACACATTCTTGTCTGTGAAGAGATTCCATACCTAGACTTTTCCATTGAAAAGAAGCAATTTTTGAAGTATGTTTCCAGAATACCTTTAGTTTATGTGAGAGAATTTTATCCATGATTATATATTATATAGCCTTTGCATGCATGTGTGTGTGTGCGTGTATACATACATTTGTATATATGTGTAAATATATATACCTATGCATATGTATATACCTTGCAATCAGGAGCTAAATAATGTTAGTTTTTAAAGTGGTTTGCATGCATGATGCACAGGATGGACAAAGATGATGATAATTCTAGATCTAACACTAAGATATTTTTATTTATTCAGTGGCTTTGTCCTGATATGGACTGTGACTTGAACAGGATGAGATGATCACAGTCAACCACCTAATTTTGTTCCCTCTCACAYAGGAGAGACTTTGCATTTCCCAAATGATTGATTAATTATTAATGAATCAGTAAAAGCAGCGATTTTCATAAGGTTGACTTATTCATGCATGAGCTAYGTCAGTCATGCTGAGCTTGTCAGATCTATGCATATAGTTGCAGCAAATTATAAGATTGATTCCACTATGKATTCCCCTGCATAAAATCTTAAATAGGAATTTTTGTCTCTTTTTAATCATACAAAGATGCAAGAAATTAAAACTAGCTGCTACAAAAAGGAAACAAAGTTTAACGTTACACATTAATATAGCCAAGTACCTTCCACTGATCATTTTCTTGTGTTAGCAAATATAAAAACTTTTCCCAAGATCRTGATAGCTGAAATTATAAGTTTTGTGGGGTCAAAACTCTGATGTATTGCCAAYAATGTGTGAGCCTTTCTTTCAATCGAAGCTGACTAATATGTAAGAGAGGATAATTTTCCTACATCAGTATTATAATTATCAGAGTATTTTCTAAAGTCCACCAAAAAAAAAAAAAAGGGCAATGTTAGATTGTCCATTTGAATGGTTTTCAAAGGATCGGTGAAATTTCACTATGTTTACTTGAAAATGGAGTTTTAAAAACACTCATATTTCATCSTTTGATTCAATAAATGCTAATTTATCAGTTTCCATAGCATGCAAGACAATGTAGCTCAGAAAGAAATTGTCATTCAAACTTGAAAGCTATATAACAATTACATTCCTACACCGATTACTTCACWGCTGTTAAAAAACCTTCTTTTTCTKTACTTYGAATACATCCAAAAATCAAAATMCATTCATCATCATGATTTTGAAAGGATCTTGAATGTTTTCTTGAATGTTATTAAACATTACTTAGTACGTTAGATAAGACTGTCCTTAAGCACTTTTTAAGTTCTTCAGKAGTGACAAGTGAATGAATAATGGAAGATCTCCTTCAGTATGTGAAGAYCATTTGCAGAAAAAGAGTATGATATGTTTTTAAAATTAGACTTTTGCCCTGGTTGCATCTGTTATATGGGAAGATAAAAGAGAGAATCCGTGACAAATTATAGGGTCATAGCTGTGACTCAGTTAAAATTCACATTATAGCCAAAAGAAAAAACAGAAAGTGATTTCACTCAGTGACACACTCTCTCGGTTACGTGACCTTACATAGATCTTGATTTTTCTACRTACAGCATTACCTTAACTTGATACAAAAAAAGCATTAACATTTAAAAAAATTATATGAATTGTCGAGTGGCTAAATCTTCACAAATGGCTGAATATTGATTATTTTATGTGCAAAATTTAGTACTAACAGATTAATCCAGCAAAATATGTGTAGACACAGACTATGAATGTAATATTTGAGCTCTGAAACTCTGTCTTGARGGTTCCAATTTTTATAATTTTCTAAAACCAGCAGAAAATACTGTCTTTGCATCTAGATCAAATGCAGTGTGGGAAAGAATATTTTCTTTGAGCACACAAAATTGCTCAGAACAAAAAAAAGGCTGATGATGTTGATCTTGTTAAGTCTGGGCTTCAGATTAATTGCAGCTGCCCACATAAAGAGCTTTAAGAAGTAATTTGAACTCCATGATGCACCAAAATGAATGTTATCTAATAATCAAAACCAGTTGAATTAAAAATTGGAGATTATGTTAATTCCTCACGTAATTAAAGGCACTAAAAATGCAAAAGTCCCCTGAAATAAAATGYTTTGATTTTGCATCAGCCAGCCATCCAAGGCAGGTGGACATCATCYACTATGACTTTTTGTCATCACCTCAAGCTCTGAATCCATTGACCTCTCTAGTTACACTGGTCTGGGATGTGAGCAGGTGCTGTTKCCAGCACCATTTATGGCACAAATGGACAGTATCCAGGCTAAAAAAATTTCTTTTGCAGTCCTTCACTCAATGCTGAAGTCTCTTTATTTCTGACCTCCAAGAGGTCAGGGATCTTCATTGCAGAATTCAGCAGAAAAATTCAAAACTGATAGGCCTGATTTGGGCTCTGAAATGGGAAAATCTGGGGGTATTTCAGTCCTGAATGATTTGCTGGAAGGCCAATATAGTTCAACATTGCCTTCAGAAGACAGCAGGCTTAGGGGGAATCAACCCCAAGCCTAGAAATCTGAGTTTGACTAACATTTAATTCTAGCTGCACAATCAGATTGCTATTTCACGAACGACCAAAGAGCTGTCATGAAAAAAGGCACACAGATTTCCTGCACACAAATTTTGCACAGATTTTCAGCATATCCAGCTCAAGGTCATTTTACTCTTTATAGGCTCTGTTGCAGTCATGCCACCTTTAGGGCCACTACTTGGCCCACCAAACGTCCCTGGATTAACTACAATGCCTATGATTAGTTTCTTCACTGTAGCATAATAATTTGCATTTTCTAATATTTTGATATAAAGTCATTGCACAGTCTAATTATTTCAAAATTGTTGTCATYTTTCAAACTTACTGTACCTTGCACTGGTCCTTTGTCCATGATTTCTTTCATTATATCGGTTTCCTGAGAGAAGGTGAAAACAGCAACAAAGAGGGAAAAGGAAGATAACACATTCTGTTAAATTAAAACTCATACTAATTTATCATAAATATACCATTGTACTTGTATTTCTGATGAAGAATATCTGGTTTACCAAATGAACGAAACCTGCAGAAACATGTTTGGGAAGAACAAAGGCACTGGTATGACTGTATACTTTCTCATCTATCTCTAATTTCTAWGGGACCACAAAGTATCAGTTTTAAAGAGATGAGGTACGACTGAGAAACTATAAAGAATTTCAACTCTTAGGAAAATACAAAGACAACATAAAGGAAAATGCACAGCTCTAATTTTGAAGTTAAGTGAACATATTTTGCCAGATAATATTCAAGCCCCAAAGAAGTAAAATTGGTGAGACAATAGATGAATGTCATGAACTTACTTTTGAGGATACCCTGTAGTGAGAGGCACACCGGTATAACCTATTGGATTTTTCAAAAGCATTGGGACATGGCCCATTTGTATAGTCTTTTCCATATTCACTTGACACATAACAGTGTTTCTCAGCTGATGGCCCAAGGTGTTTGTTCCAAAATGATGGATAACAAGCATAAGATACAACCCTGTTCAGATATTTTAAAAAAGAATTGATAAGAAGCTTGCTTAAACATTTTTGCAATTTTATTTCAAGCTTTTAACTATTTTGTAACTGTCATATTTCAAGTAACATTCTTCAAAAGTATGAATTACTCGTATCTTCAACTGGATGGCATTTGCTTCAATTGATATCCATGATACTTATGATTAAGTTTCCATTACAGTRGTCYTCTCTCTGCCCTTYTCCAAAGAGAGAGAGGGTAAAAAATGWRTTTAGCACTTGTCACCTGGTACATTCATCTCATTAACAATGCATGAAAGTTCACTCTGAAAAAGACCAATAAATTACGAATGTAGTCAATGGGCTTCATTTAGCAAAAATTAGTTGTGAAATTGAATACATGGAATACTGTTAACTATTTCTGAAACAATACACAAATTTCTGYGTTAATGTCATGGAGGTTTATGAGAGSGTTTCTTTTAAAKACCATAACTAAATATTTTGCTGAAKCAGAATRTTTTAAAATAGGCAGTCCTATAAAAMTCATTTGTATTTAAGTAGTTCATCAATTATACTGAACATTCTGAATCTAAGGAACTGAAAACTGTATTTCTACACAATATGGAGTATAACTGTATTTGCCTGCATATACTTAGTTGTCAGGAGTTTTGCAAGATGAGCCCATATATATATATATATATATATATATATATTCAGCTATTTTGAATAAGACCCAGCATTTTCCATTAGCATATGGTGGTAGAAAAACTGACAAAGTCTTTTTCTTTCTGTCCAAACCAGACCACATTCCCCCAGAAGCTTCAAAAGCAATCTACTTAGATGAAAACAGATTGTACATTTAAGGTTGTTAGGYTGTTATTGCTTAGATATTCAGTCTGCTCAGTGACAACCCCTTTTAATTCCTTCTGAATCTGACCGYATTCTGGATTCACAGATATCTGGTGGAGGATGGGAATTATTTAGGCTGAACATGTACAGGTCATTATTGCTAATTTTAAAATTTATTATGCTATGTTTCTACTACTGGGTAGAAGGAAATATTTGGTTTATGTAGTACATCTACAATAAATGTAAATCTATAAATGTTTATAAAATGTGTCTATCTCTATATGCATAATCATTCCATTCAGCACTGATGATAGATTTTAAAAAAAAACAAAAAACCACAGGATTGCTGCCAAGTGCCATCAGGTCTGTAAGGTGGGTAAGGTGAGCAAATAAAATCCTAAGAGCTGATCTACCATCAGCAGGGCAGGAACAGGAAATTGCAGCCTGGTGTCAAGAATTGTAGGACATATATTCCTCTGGTGTACTTAGAAACACCTCAGAGGGAAACAGAAAAAACTCATTTCTAGGATAGGGATATTTTCCCTCTCCTCTCAGCTGGATTGTACCAATGGAGATGTAACTGGTTCTGCATGGATGGGTCTTATTTCTACRTCAACAGAAGTGAACCACTCAAATTTGCAGTAATACACCAGAGCTGCATGGTAATTCAAATAAGATCACCCACTCCAAACTAACAGTCACGTTTGAATCTTTTCACCAACCACAGTTTCTGCAGCTGTGATTAACATGATTGAGCAGCTTTTTGCTGAAGCACAATTTCATAGGTGCTGAAGAACCAGCACAACGTTAAAAACACTTCAAGGAGAAGACCCTGCCAAAAGAGTCATAGATCAAAAACAGAAGTAGATGTCAATATGATTATATGCACGAATATAGATACACATATACAAAAATAATAGTAGAAACATGCAGGATTCAGTGAGAACCATRAAAACTCTGTAGTGTATCCATACATTCTTGACAGAATTAAACTGAAATCATGTTGTCTCAGTTTAGAGACAACTGTAGAAGAAAAACCTCTGGAATAAGTGCTTCTTCTGAAGGAAAGGGTTTCTGCAACCTCTTCCCACTGATACAAAACGAATATTGGTCAGTGGAAGTGAAAAAAGCCTCTATTTATTTGAGAAACAAAGWGCCTGCATGACACAGGAAAAGAAATTAATAACTGTTAGATATCGAACCTTCAGAACTTTACCCCCACATGCACACATACTTTCACCCACAGCAGAACAAAAAAAAAAAATAAAAAAATAAGACCCAAAATGCCAGGAGAAGGGAAAAAACTGTCAGCCACACGCTAGGGAAAAATAAAATGGTGGACAGCTTTGTCTCGGGGGAAGAAGAAAGACTCCACCCAGCTTGGGAAGGAAAGAACCAAAACAGATGGGAACCCAGTGAACCTTCAATGCTTGTCTTTTCTTCACAGCAGACAAAGTTATTGGTGGAGTCCTTTCTCTCGTGGTTTGGCTTTTCCCAAAGTCTGGAGCTGGGCAGAGTTGCTCCGGCAGCTCCCCACAGGTCGCACTCACCRTCTCCCCAGAAATGGTCTGATTTTGGACCAAAAGCCAAGCCAAACAGTCCAAGAAGAAACAACAGAAGCCWCCAAAGAATTACTACTACCRTTCAGGGAAAAGYTTCCTGCCTAAGCTAACAAAACCTAAGCTAGCTAGGCAACAATGCAGCCTCTGATTCAGTGGCAAACTGAGCACACCAGAAAGTGAGAGCTTGAACAAAGCCACTGCCAGAGTTCCTTGGCTCCAGCCCCACCCCAGTCTCGCCTTAAAGCTTCAAGACCCATTTCTGGGTACAAAGCAGACAATCAGAGTATCATCACAAAATCACCCCAAGACACATGTGGTGTTATGTGTTCAATCTAATGAAACATTTTGTGGGTTTATTGCCTTTACATGTTTGAATTGTGAGATAAGAAAATTATCCTAAACATTAGACTATGCTATTAGCAAGTTGGCTAATAACAATATCTTTCTCATACCCTGCAACTGCTAAAAGCCCAAAGTACAAATCAGATTAAGCTCTCTTGTGTTAAAGTCACTATTTACATACAAGTGTATAACTTTTATACTCTCTGGAAATTAAATGTTTCTTCCTCATTTGTAATGGATACAACCTTGTAATTTTCCTTTGTAGTTAAAATAGATGCTTTCAAATAACATTTATTTCTTTCAAATTMTGGCTTGTAACTGAAATACCTAAAAATTAATACTAATTAGTGATAGAATRCACTTTTATTCTTTAATTAATGGAGAAAGACAAAGAAAAAGAGTGAGATTTAAACAAGGTTTCAGCTCCACTTATAGAAGATTTCAGTTAATTGGGTGTTCAGTGATCTGAAACATCAGGTCTCAACACTGGCCTAGCTTCATTGAGCTTTATGGAAATCTTTTTCTGCCTTCACTGGGTATAGTTTAGGTCACCACTTGATTTTTCTGAACATCTGTCAAAAAACCTGAGCTAAGAACACTTCAGAAATCAAAACAGCAGAAACTTTTAACAGCACTGAACACCTGCTTTGATGATTTACAAGGCCACACAGAAAATCTGTGTGTTTCCTCCCTATTGCAAGGTATGGAGATAATGAAAAAATGATTACAATATAATGATTCCTAAAAATAAGTCTCCTGAAGTGTGAGGRAGCAAGCACTATTTGACAGGGATCATTCAAAAGACACTTCTGACTTGTACACCATAAGTTTCCAAGTTTTTTTCATTGTTACAGATAAAAAGTTATGGGTTAAGGGGTTTAGCCACAAAAATAATTAAATTATCAGTCCAGTGAATCGAAAAGGTTAATTTTTTTACTATTATTGCTATTATTTGCTCATGGCTACTATCAGAAGCATAGCACTGGGCTAGATGTACCTTTGCTCAGACTCAGAATACCTGTTCTTGAGTTCTTCCAGTATATGTTCTAACTATATTTGGATATTTCTCTTAACTTRTTTATTTGTGTCTGGAAATGTTGGAATAGTCTTTGAAATATCATTTGAACTTGAGGAAAGAAAATCAGAATGTAGAAATGTTTATAAAAAGAGGTAAGTAGAGACATTGATGTGTGGTACTTTAATGGCAAATCAATGACCAGGAACAAAAATGGGTAGCAGGAAAAGGTCTGTCATACCACAGTGATATTGTACATGTTGGACCAAGCTCCATGGGAACAAAAACACTTAATAAATTACTAAGAAAATAATCTTGATGAGATTACTAAGAAAATAATCTTGATGAGATTTGTTGGAGATCAAGATAATTTCCAAAGATTCAAGATAATTTCCAAAGATTCACAACAGTATTTCAGACTCTTTGTTCAGATAATAATCTGTCTGCAAGAGACTGGTGAACACTACGAGGCTGAGCAATAAGCAGGTACTTAGGAGTGTGGAGATRAAAAGACAGTTCACAGGTGTGCTGTGCGAGCTGACGTGCTGTGGCTCTGTTTCAGGCTTACATCAGTCAGAAAGCCTGCTCAGCACACCACTGTCACACTGCTGTTCAGTCAGGTCAAACTTAATGTTATTGCAGCCATTGCAGAGCAAGCTCCTGCAAGGGTACAGYTAGGTTGATAATGAAGCGTCTTGTAGAGTATCAAGCCTGCCTTGCTTTTCTTTTAAAAAAAAGCTAACTATTTTATACTAAAACTGCATAACAGGCTATGCCACTAACCACACTGCTAAGGTCAAAATAACACTTCATTCTGACATAGGAAGAGTCTTATTTTTATGGGCTCGTGGTRGTTATGCCCATACCTGGATAACAGTCAGAGGGAATAGAGGACGAGAAGATTGTCCGATTGTTGCATTCTTTAAAACTTTGCCTCTAAAAATAACTTGTTCCAGTGTTGTGATTTTCATAAAAATTATTCTCATTTCTTCTCTTGTCTATACCAGCAATTCTTGTTACTGTTCTTAACAGGCAAGAAAACAGTCCAGAGAGAAAGAGTTGAAATTACTCTTCCAAAAACATGAGCTATTGAATAAAATSAGAGTACCCTTGTAATTACAGAGAGGTGTTGCAGTTAAAAAGTGCTTACAATTGAAATGACAAGTTAACTCTCATTTCTTCATGAATGAAGCCTTTTCCCTTACTCTCRAGGTGGTCAGGGGTCTTTGCTGAGTAGAATCACTCAGCTAAAGGATCTCCTGCTCAAAACCTAAATGAAAGCTGGTTTAGCACTGAAACCCTGAGAGAGAAAGACAGAGAAGCGCTCAGAGTAAACTTTCTCCATAAAAATATAAAATCCTTGTCAGATCAGAAATAGTTTGATACACTTGCAGGAAGTAGAATGATCGCTTGTATAGTGTGACAGGTGTTCTGGAACCCCAGGCTGCCAYGTCAACTATGACACATCACATCTGACATTCTTTTGCACTTGTCATGGYTTGTTTATTTGTTTAWTTTATAAATAAAATATTAAAAGTTGACAGAGAGAACACCTGAGATCTCTCTGTCTGTCAGTTTCAGATATATCAGAGTAAGGGATAAGACTGTATGAAAGCAAGACAAGAAATAGATTTTAGTATGGAATAGAAAGTACAAAAAAAAATCTGGTGATGTGAAAACCAACAGAATTTAATTATATGGTCTCTAAAACACGATTGTTGAAACACGATTGTTGAAGCCATTTCCAGGCATACAAACTTCAAGGAGTTGACTGAAAACAGGCAGTGAAGATTCACCACAGTGGGTAATGATGATGTGATGAGACAGTCTAACCACGATGAAACGACTGGCTCCATGGAGAATAAGAAAAGCAGTAGATATAAATTACCTTGTCTTTAGTGACATTTTCAGCATAGGTTCCTGAGGTGTTCCTCTACTTTATTGGATTAGGTATGTTGTTTACAAGGTCAGTTGTGGATTGGCATGCTGAAAGGTTGGCAGGTCAAAGGGACTGGTGTCTGTTTATGTCATTCCCCAGGAGACAACACAAAACCAATGCTTCTGCACCTCTATTAACAATTTGGACAGCTGGATATAAGGCACCCTTAGCAAGTTTGTTGAGAATGCAAAACTGGTGGGGAATGATTAGTATGCACAACTGTCATTCAGGGCAGTGTTAATAGGCTGAAGAAATGACCCTGACAGAAATATCCTGAAGTTTAACAAAGACACATGGCAAATCCTGCCCCTGAGCCAGAACTGCCCAGGTACTGGGAGGGCACCTGTGTAGGAAGTKGTTTCACAGAGAAGGACATGAAGTCCTGAGAAAGTGGAACTTAGGTGAGCCCTCTTGGCAGATGTTGTCAGCCAATACTGGCATATATTATCAAGAACATAGCCAAGACATGTGAAAAATTATTATTCCACTCAAATTACTACTCCACAGATGGGGTATCTTCACTATGTGCTTTCGAGAAAAGACACTGACAAACTGAGCAAGTCCAGTGGAAGGCGTTTAGAGGACTTGTGCTGAGGCAGTTGTTCAGTCTGGAGTAGAGAAAACCTAAGGAGTATATAATTCCTGTCTTCAACTACATAAGRAAAGGTATAGAGTAGACAGAACAAAAGATGTACCACAAAAAGCTGGAAGGTACCAGTCACAAGTTCTACTGAGGAAAATGCTGATACAAAAAAAAAAGTGTTTGACCATAAAAGTGGTCAAACAAACTGACCTGCTGCAAAATGATTGTGGAACTTCCATCCTTGAAGATACTCAAAATGTGTCCAGGGACATGGCCTAAACAGCCTGACCTAATTTCAAAGTCATGCTTTGAGCAGAATGGTTGACTAGGTGACCTCCAAAGTTCCAACAAAAATTGTTTTGTGGTTCCATAAATGTTTATATTCCATTTTAAAAAATTTCTAGCTGTTTTAGGTGGAATTTGACAGCTGTTAACTCTGCTTAGTCTGAGTTGTAGGAAGAAGGCTCTAGGTACAGTCCTTAATAGAGTGTTGCATTCTGTAAAAACCTTGGGGTGAGATTATTACAATTTGCTTTATAGAGAAAAGATTTGATTCTTTTGAATATTCACATGTTGTCTCATGCAATTGGCTGCTTACTCAAGGCTGTTTAACATGAAGACCCTGTTTCCCAGGAAACACACAATTTTGAGTCCATTTGCAATATGGTCGTATTGTAACTTAAGCAATTGCTTCCATTTAAAATAATCTAAACAGATCAATAAAATATTTACCCATGTGTTTTCAGGTATCTCCAAGCACCATCAATACTTCCACCATTACACCCATGTTGATTCCTGGTATCACAGGAGATCAAGTTCTGARCAGAAAGGTTGTCTGTGATCTGACCCTTTGACTGAATTGCTATTCTATCTGCAGCAACACCTGTTTGGAAACAAATTTTCTGTTACCAAAAACAAATAATTACTCACAACTTTGCATTTATTACTGTGAAAGAGGGATTGAAATACAACCTCAATATTTTCTGTCTGTGCAGATACCTTCACTAAACCATACAGTTAGAATGTATCCAGAAATTTGTGAGACTGCAAAACATCATGAGTAACTTTGCTGTAATATGACAAATCCATAGATTTACTGGCTATTATAAAGTCACACATATCTAGATGATAACATCAGATGATACATAATTGTSTCTACCATGTTTGCAAATGCATATTCATATCTGGTTGTGTTCAGCAGAAGATGCAAATACTTCCACCCTTTCTGCAGCTGAATCTCCAAATCTCTTTGCTGTCTTTTCTACTTCTCTTTCCTATATGTGAGGGGAAAAGAATGAATAGTCCTATGGAAAAGATAATTCAACATGAAGTACGCACCAGTATTATTAAAAGAATATTTTGAGACATTCATTTTAAGTGTAAATGTAGGACTCTTTGTACCTCCCTCACTTACCACAMAAAATTATTCTTCTGAGATTGGCATCTTACCTGAATTCAATCAGATAATCATGATTCATAGTATTTATATATTTATGAACTGATGTAAAGGCAGACCAGGTTAACTAAGTTGTGGGTGAAACTCACAGTAGGTACTTCTAGTTTCTTTATCAAATGACAATGAAACAATCATTAAGCCTCACTTTCAATCATTACCTGAAATTAATTTTATTTATATTACTTTTAGTCATGCATTTCTGAATTTGAAAATAAATATTTTAAATATCTCTTGAARTCTAAATCCCCATCAAAATCCAACACTAACTTTGTTGAACTTTGGGGAAGACTCCAGAAAATAAAGTTTGCTAATGGGAGGTGACAACTGTATTTTGTGCTTTTGGGAGGTGTCCCATGATAATGAAATCATTTTCATAAATATAAAAGCCTTTTACTGTAAAGTTTAGGGATACTTATAGAAATTACTCATGATAGAAAAAATATTATATAGCAGTGTTTGTTCATTGGTCAAAAATTAATCTTGAAAATTCAGATTGAAAATGTTAGATGCATCTAAACAACCCTGGAAGGCATCTCATATTCAGATATCTGGTAGAGCTTTGAAAAGAATTATGTGAATTAAAATAAAAAGATATGTTTATGAAAAGGAAAATTTAGACACAATATCTAAGAAGTCTTATCTTCAGTGATCTCTGTTCATCCCTGCAGTAATCTGTCAGAAGAGCTGTTAAAAGCCTCCTTGGTTTTCTCTTTTTAAAACTATAGTGGAAAAGAGATATTGAAAAAAGAGCATGTTCAATCTGGCTTTTTCAGGGAGCAGAAATTACCTGGCCTAAACCCTCCTTTCCTTCTCTTACTGCTGTAATTTAACAAAGCAGTTACAGATACCTGGACCAGTGAGAACCCAGTAGCCAAATCAAGCCATGAAGACTGATCACATGATTTTTTCTCTATCTTTATATATCCAAATATGCACTGATATTTATTGCAAGAAAAATATACATAACAGATTTTTATAGCTCCTTTGGAGAAAGTGACCATTGTGCCCATTTTTCATAAAACCAGGATTTGAAACACATGAGGTTGAATTGCATTACTGTCATTGCTTATGGAATTTGAAAGATTGCTTCTTTCACAAGTATCTGAGTAGTTTTAGGTTTTTCTTCTCATAAAATTTGAAAGTCTTTTACCCAATATTTAGCAAAGGTTGGACACTGTTAAATGCAGAAAAATATGAATACATATAAAGAAATTAAAGCCTACCTGTTTTAAGCTTTTAAGTCAAGCATGCAGTTGCACAGAAGGAAAAGGTATTTTTTAAACATTACTCTATTAGTTATGATAAAGTGCATCAGTCAATTCATTTTCTACTTTCTGTCACAAAAAAAGTCTTATGTTACACAACTTTAAGAAAAGAAAGTGCTGTAGCTTAGATTGACATTTTAAGACTTTGGGACAACACAGAGAGAAAGTTGTAGCAATTATAAACGTTCCTATTTGCTAATTAAAAGTGAAAAGCAATCTGGAGTTATTTTGTTACTAACCACTACAAATTTGTATTACACATCTAACATCACTGACACTTTTAAAGGGGGAAAAATATTACTTGCAGTTGAAAAAGCCCAGGATGCTCCACAGTTTCGTTGATCCAAAGGATCATGAATCCACCCAGGCCACTCRTAAGTGGCTGAAAAAATTGCAGGAAACTTTTCTTCTGGAAGTGACTTTCCCTAAAACAAAATGTAGAAGATCTGTGTATGCTTCATTTCCTTTTKTTATCATAAATTTTACCATAATTTTGTTTGTAAATTTTTGAATTTTTAAAGTGAGGAAACGCAAAGTATTGGCCCTGAGACCTCCCAAGCAACTCTGTGGTGGTTTCCTGTTGGCTGGATGCTGTAGACCCATGACAGCAGGAGGATTCTGGCACTACATTAGCTGAGCTGAAAAGCTGAGCTCCATGACTTTCAACCTGAATAACCTGTCCAGWTTTTCTCTGATTTTTATCTCAAACAACAATTCCCTATGATATCTGATAGGTAAGACTCAGCTGGCATTTTTGGAAATAAAAGCCCTCTGGTACAAATAGCAGTAAAGTTAGATACATGTTACCCTGTTCTTCCAGATATGTGGCTGTATGTAGGAAATTTTAGTCACCATGGGAGAGGAATCAGACATTGATTTGTCTTTTACATAGAGGTTTTTCTGTCTCAAGCAGTTATTCCAGAATAAAAATCAGTGATTTTTATTCTGCTTTGCAATCTGATAGTGAATTGATGAAAATTCGAGGTCTGCTCACTAAAGCACTTTGGCAAGCCATTTCTGGCACCTTCATCTCTCAGCCCTAGTTTATGTGTTCCTCCAAAGTCCTCCAAGCTTTGAATAAATATTTGCATATCTAAAAGCCATCTGGTACAACTGCTWATAATCTGCTCTGGATTCAACATATCAAAAGGATTGACCTTCTTTTTTTACTGTTGAAGTTCATGAAATGATTGATTATGCTGCTCAAGGAAATAGGAATGGTTACAGAGAATTGCAATATTAGTCCATCCAATCAGTTTGTTTCAAAAAATTGTTGATAACATCAGTTCCAGAAGGAAATACAATATACAAAATAAGATYATCTGTTCCCAAGCAAAACATTCATTGATGTGTCTTTTTCATAAGCAGGCTGAAACTCTGAAGCACAGTGGCTTCTATCCTGTTTAAAKTCCTTTCTTTTACTTCAATTTATTTCTCTTCTAATTCTGGGTACCCTTGCTAAAATATTTTTCTAGATTTTATATGTGACTTATAATCATTAAATATACCTTTTGATAAGATGATTTAAACACTTGAGGCCAGTTCTTTCAAATTATTTCACGACTCTTCAGGGAACCAAATTTTACCCCTTTGCCTGTGTCAAGATCTCTCTTTGTTGTGTACACTGCAAAACAGCAGTGCTTCCATCCAGCTTGTACACCCAGATTTGCTACAGAAAATCTCCAACTGAGAAAAAGTGRGTAAGGAAAAAGGAAGATTGTACCTCAAGTCTGTATCTGACATTAGACTGGGATACAAGCCCAACAGGCAAAGTGATACAGTCTGTGTATATTCCCCGACCCAGCAGTTCTGGGTTCACCAGGTTAGATGCAGGCTGTGAGTCCTGAATCTGTTAAAGAATACTGTATGCTGTTAGGTCACTTCAGTGATTTTGAAAGTCTCATCTCCACCAATAAAAGGCCTTTTTTAAACCTTGCTAAAATATTAATCTCAATATTTTGATTAATCAGTTTCAAAAGTATGCTCTTTTCAAAGAGATTTATATACATGGGACTTGCAACATCAAGTGGCATTTAGGAAGCAGCAACTAATTTAAAGAATAACTTGGTAAATAATTATGTTCACTATTAGCAAGTCTGCACAAGCTCAAGATTTACTTTGAAGACAAAACATATAGGAGAAATCCCAGACAAGTAGAATTTCTTTTATATGATGAGACTGTTCAGCACCAACCAGCAAACAGGCAAAATCTGGCAAATGCTTAGCACAATTATGTGGGCAATGGATGCTTACAATGCTCATGACAGTGCCTCATTACAAATGAGACAGTTGAGAAGAGCAAAATCCTAAACAGATCTCYAGTCTGTGACAATGTATTACTTTATGTATTCCTAACCTACTGCCAATGTATTTATTAACATCATATTGTTAAATCCCAGAGCAAAGCCCTCATTAACCCTCAGCCTTGTCATTTAGAAATGCAGGACTGATCTGCAGCCAGAAACATTGGCTTTTTTTTTCTGAAAAAACTACTTCCCTAATATTGAGAAGAGCTGTGGCTCTGTGACAAATATCAAGTCTAGACAACTGTTTCTCAATGTATGCTCCGTGGACCAGTATCAGACAGCACAAGGCAATCAGAAAATGACTGGTGAACTATTTTTAAACCTTCATATATACTCTGCAGTGAAGTGAAAAGCCTGGCCAGAGTAGGGAGGTAAAAGGATATAAAAGAGCCCTCGAATTTCAACTGCGACTTCTTCAGAAAAGTTAGATGATAAGTAAGAGAAAAAAGACCAAAGACGGCTGAATTTGAAAATTTGAAAATTGTTTTCCTGAGGGAAAGTAATTTTTTTTTTTTATTTTAATGTAGGAAAAAGGTTCTGAACATCATTTATTTTGTGAAGACAAACTGAATATGAACAACCTCCAGTTTGCAAGAGAAAATTCAGCTGCTGAGAGTTTTTGCTGGAAAAGCCATATATGAGTGAAACAGCTGGTATACTTTGTCTACTTTCACATTGTCTTTACGAGTTCCTTCATACTTRTTGAAAAATGGTGCCTTCATACTGAATTATGTATTTCCTTTTCTTGTAAGATGGCACTTATGTGAGCACCTCGTTGCTGTGGGGTGCAGATCCTACCATTGCAACGTACTTCTTGCCAGGTCTTGTGCTGATAGAATACCACCAAAAGTGGTTTTATAATGGTTTTAAAGGTGCGAAGTAGCACAGTTATTCTTGTGCTACTTGGAACTTCAAGAATAATTACAATGTCTCCTGCAGTGAAAATGCCTTATCAGACTGAGGAGCTTCAGCTTTGTCAGGAGTCAAACAGTGTAAGTGACACACTTAGCTGTGGGTTTATGCTCAGGTCTAGCCATACTATGCAACAGAGGGTTCTCAGTTCAGATTTCGTTCTTGCTCCGTATCATTGTCTTTTAGGTATTCTAATGTATCTTATYATGTTAAACTTCCCTTCAAGACAAAAGCATCACCTTATTGAACATATATAGTCTTTTACTAATAGCAGAACTTTTAAAAGCTCCATAAGCAAYTTCAGGAAGTTTGTTATTTAGCTAAAATGAAATCTAGTTCTATCAGACTGTTTAATTTGAATTAATTTTATGAAGTTTTATTTGTAGTTGGACAGTCAAAGAAACAACTAAAAAATCTCTATTCCAGAAGCAAACTTTTTGACACTGCTGAGAACTGACTGTGCTGTACATGTAAAATTGCCAGCACAGAAAAGCTTGACATTTTTGAATATTGTTTTCCCAGGCCTTTGAGTAAGGAGCCCCTTCCATAGAAAAATGTTTTTCTTAAGTATCCCCATAAGACAATGGAAAATAATCAGAACATCAGGCTCTTATACAGCAGAAGCTATCAGTTTTTTCTCTTAATAATAGATTGGAAGCATGGTAAAGAAATGTTTTTATTTAAAGGGAAAAAATAAAAGTTGTATTTAATGAATGGTAGATGTGGATTTCTTTCTACAATAACAGAGTTACCWGGTTTCAATTAAGTCAGTGCAAGCTCAAAACTCCTGAACACTAGTTCTAGCATTTTTATCCACTAAATATGTGGTTTGAGGGAAATTACTTGTAGTTTTATCACTTGCAAAATCAGAAAGACAGTAATAGTCCCATTGAATGCATGACTATTTCATCAGTACCAGTTTATCCACAGTAAGTAACTAGTACATTGTTCTTCATGTGAATTAGTACTCAATGAAGTCACTTAAAGGTTAAGCCATTAAGGTTTGGAATGTGTCTGAAAAATAATAAAATGTCATTCTTTCTGAATTTCATTATTAATTTCTCTTTTACTCTATTTTCAGTTGTCACCCAGTAATGGGTGAAGCTTAATGGAAACACTGTCATGAAACTCACTAGTTTTTAATCATTTGGGCCTTTGCAAATGTGTTAGTATGCTTTGCTGTATACCAGTAACAGAAAATTATTCATGGAAGGTGAAACAGGGGCAAGAGTCTCTGAAAATCTGGTAAGATATTTATCTTTAAATGTGCCTTGGAGTTAACTCCATCGCTACTGGTGTTTTGCCAGCTGAAAGAATCAATTGATGTACTCCCTGATGAGCACAGTCCATGCCCTGAAATTCTTGGATGGTACAGTTGCAGTAGATATGGATCTGCCTATGACTGAGAAAATTGAATTTTTAAAAWGTTGTTGTGAAATATTAAAATATGGCAAATGACAGGTAATTTCCTGAGGTATCACAAAGACATTAGAGAGATTATATTCTTCTAGAAACTAAAGGGGACAAAATCAGGGAAATTTGGAACTTTATAGGGAAGTTCAGAGAAACATATTTTTGAATCAAGACCAGTTAAGAAACCATGGGGCTAAGAGCAAGGAAGTTCTAATAATTCTGWAGAGAAGCCATAGGTAGGAGATGGGCTCAGGTACTACTAAAAGGCATTTCCTGCAAGCTGAAAGAATTTTCCAGGAGCTCAAAAAGTCATACAGAGGTTGTTATTTTYTAYTTTTTGCTTTCTTAYRTAGAAATATTTCTTAGAACCTGTGGAAAGTATGTGGTTCTGTCAACATGTAAGASTTCCTGATGGCTAAATACATGAATGTGCAAAACTGGATTTCTGTAGAAAAATGCATTGAATCTCCTTGGGTGTCTGGCAGTGCCAAAGGCAATTGGSTTGGGGCTCACATATTTCACAAGACAGCAGACAGAGAAAATATGACTGAGAAATGCATTAGTGGAACAAAGGTTGTAGGAAGTGTAGCAGTGAATGTAGCAGGAAGCTTAGTAACAACGATTCAATAGGCTRGACATAATGCTGGGCTACTGAGTAAACAGCTACTCCAAACTCAATGAAAGAAAGCAAGTATTGTGAAGAATTTYTTGAAACCTTCCCTTTTCTGTTTTCCTAAGTGGGATTTGTCTCAACTAGCTAGATACTGAGTAATGTAGATGTTAATCTCTGGGCTAGGTACRTAACATCTTTTTTTGCCGGTGCTCTAGGAGCACCACACCTTACGCCTCAAGGAAAAAAAAAACCAACAACAACAAATCAATCTGACTCTTTCAGCCTCAGTGCAGTTCACCGGTAACTTAAGGCTGGCACCTACTAAATACTGGATTAAATTCTTTTATGCCATTGTCTTATTTTGACCTGCCATCCTTCTTTGGCTGAAGAGTAGTCCAGAAAATCCTACCAGGCAAAACTCCAAAGCCTAATTCCTGACCACTTCTTGCTCTGGCAACCCTTCACAATGTAATTTTGATTGAGCTGGCCAATCTGGGCCCCAGGCCAATGCCTCACCATGCTGCTTCGGGGAGCTGTCATTGTGTGTAACAAAGAATGAATCTGAATCAAGCAAAAGGGTTAGGACTGCTAAAATTATTGCAGAGGCCAACCCCTACTTTCCCCAAAACTCATTCAAGGGGCAGCTCTGCACTGCTGTCACCACAGATTCTTCCATCATGTGGAAACCCTTCTGCCACTGATACTTTTTTAGCTTTTTCCATATTTTTATACATTTTCAGCTTTGTAGATTTTTAATATATAGCTGTATAGTTTTACGCACTTTCTCACTCTTTAGTAGATCATTTTTTCTCACACATTTATGCCAGTTTCTYGAAATTCTGTTTAGTCTTATTTTCAAAAAAAAGAATTTCTGACAAGGACACACTAATTTGCACCAGCACCCAGAAGACATAACAAAATATAAGGTGAAGAACACTTTGGAGAGATTCCAGGGGGCAGGCCCAAGGTTGGGTAACAAGGACAGCCAGTCTCCTGTAGGGCGTACTTGCCAGTTATACTAATTAATTACACTTATAAAATTTGTGGAAATACCATATCAGGCATGTGCATAGATATTTTGTGCACCTGAAAGCTTTCATTGAAGAACTTCTCTTTATATTACCATTTAATATTATTTAATATTTAATATTGTTTGGAAAGCTTTTCTTTTGTTTCTAGGCAACACCACAATGCAAAGGAGTATCAGCAATTGACTTCTAATAGATACTCAAATGGCATCACTTGCCTGAGCTATATAGAAGCCAAAGATAAATACCTGTTACACTTCATGCTTTTGCAGACCTTGGATCTATCTATTTATACTTTCAATTCTTCTAATTTCACTATGGTGAGCTAGTTAGGTGGGGTTTTTTTTCTCTGTGATTTCCATAAATTTTGTCCTCTAAGAAAGAAACCAGGTAGCTGATCCAAAGTATTCAGAAAATCCCTCTGGATTCAATAACCTCTWTTTTTTTCTTAAATTGCTTAAGCTWTGTACATAAMTTAAAGTACATTTGCTTTGATTAAGAACTMATTTCAGCATAAATAAATGATAGGRAATTTAATTTAGCTGCCATGAAAATTACCATGGTGAAGAGATTTAGAAAGCTGGTAKTAGAGAATCATTTTGTTTTTCAATAATTCCCATACTTCTGCTGTCCATTTGTTCAAAACCCAAAAAAAGCTTACACAGTTTCTGTCAAACATTGCTCTTTAGTCTCAGCTCTTAGCCTTAATGAACTATGCCCAGATTTATTTTTCTRTGGTTACAGCTATGTGTGCAATGAYSAKCAAATGGAGAGGTTTGTATCAAGCCCRCTTAAAGAAGTAAACTACAATGAAAAGTTAATATTGCTGCAGAGCTTCATAGTGGCAAGGGTTTTATTTTGTTACTCCTTGTTTGATTTCTGTCAACAGGGCTGGACATTCTGTGACTTGTAAAACTGTTTCAGAAGYTTCATATTCAACAAGGAAACATTTAGTGTCAAAACCCTGAATCAGACTTTTATAATTGTCCACACTTATTTTTCCATGTGATGAAATTATTAAAAAAATTTAACAAGTAAACATGACACTTACTGGAGCTTCTCTCATATTCAGCAAAGAATGAGATGGAGGGAAGGTGCCCAGGCGCTTTTTGAAACCTTCTTCCACTGTCATTCCCCAGAACTGACTGTAGTTGTCAGCTTTCCATCTAACTCAGAGACAAAAAYCAAACAAACAAAACTCAGGTTAGAGATAATACATTAACATATTGCTCATTTGAGAGTATAACTAGCAAAAAGATCCAGAAATAATTTCTTGAAATTACATTTCAAAACCTTGCATTCAATATGCATGAGGAAATATTTGCTATGGGCTCTTCCACTGCAAATAAGTGCAAGATGGAACAACAGAGCAGTATATGAATAATGGTGATTTGGGATCAGCATCACATTAGCCTGCAGGACATGAGCATGCCATGCTTCAGAGCAGTACTGGATGTTCAGTTAAAACATTACTGTTCTCTTGAAGTTATGCTCAAATCATGCTCCAGCCCAGATTCCCACAGAAAACTAACAGCCTCATGTAGTGAGTTACAGTGCACCTTSAAGCTCTTAAGCACCAGAAGAGAGATACTGTTGAACCCTGCAAAAAGCCCAGCTGATACCTTCTGCCTGAGTTTTATACCCATAGCCACTGTGAGAGAAAGGGCTCCTCATGGTTCTCTAAGTATTCCCTCGCCATTCTTAGGTGGACTTGACTCAGATTGCAGTGTTAGCATACAAGCTATATGCATAACAAACAAAAAAAAATACTCTTGCAGCTGTACACATTTGAAACACTGAAATTTATTACTGGGTAAGGGCTGAGTGACAAGGGAGAGAGCATTCTCTTTACCCATTCCTTTCTTGCTTGCATGTGAAGTACGGGGAGTGGGATTCATGCTGCCCAAAGAAGCCTCTGGTTTCTCCTTAGTCAGGGAGTTCAGGGACATGGAAAAGTTGAGCCATATCTGAGGTAGACTTAACGATCCTGTGGCAAACTTTATCGCTCACCACTGACAAGAAAGAGGTTAAGGGCTCCAGATGCCTTACTTGGTCGTTTGTCCTAATTCAATTGGTTTGAATGTCTTCTGTGAAGTACAAAATATTTCAGCATTGAAATGACAGCTTGAAATCTGGATGGGCTTCCCTGGTGAATTTGGGACCCAGAACCTAGGGAAGCTGCCCCTGTATTCTCTATCTGTAAACTGCCAGCAGCCTCCCAAGGCACAGATCTAGTACTTGGATCCCTAATCCCCAGGCACTAGCTAGGGGAATGAGGTTGTTAGCAAGAAAAAAAAAACAAGTCCCACAAAGTCCTAATAAYTTGGTCCCCATTGGGCCATCTTCTCTTCCAGTGCTAACAGAGTTCTGATATGTGGAACAATGYTTTCAAGTGAGGACAAAAAATTACTTTAAATATCTATCCCAAGTAATAAGCACAGTGAAAAATAAGGGAATATGATGCAACTTGTGTTTTGAGAGACAAAAAAATTGTTCTAAATTTGGAGAATATTTTAGATAGATGTTTACAGTAATTTTTACTAACATGAGGTGTTCAGTGTCTTTCCATTTAAAACTCTATAATCTTCCAGTGATTTAAGAAAGTTTTACAAATGTACACTCACTGTCAAATTGCTGTTGTGTTTTGAGAATGAAGGGGTGGGGAGGACTGCGTACCTTGTAATTTGCACATACACACAATGATCAARCAATCTGTGTTGCATAACAAACTCTTAAAATAAAAGGCTTCTCACCCATAATCTCCAGAATTGATGCGCTGAATTAAGTCTTGGCGAACAAGGCAGAYGTCTGTTGAACATTTCCAGAGACTGTTGAAACATTTGCTGAAAGGACAAGAATATAATGGAGAAAAAGAACAAGAATTGTCAAAGGAAAAATATGCACTTTAACAGCAGAAGGCAGATGGAGAGAGGAATTTTTGTGAACAATACAATTGTCACAATAATGCTTACAAAAACATAATGCCTTTTCTTCCTGTTTCACTACCTAATGAATTGGAACAAGGTGGGAAGCTTTACAGCTTCTGGGAAAGGTAATATATGAAAAATTTTGCTTCCATCTTTGTGAGACCAAACCAAGGAATATAAAGTTGATGTTGAATTCCTTAAAAAAAAAAAAAAAAAAAAAAAAAAAAAAAAAAGCGCAATGTTTTGAGGAAGTTTTCCTCTGGAAACCCAGAAAGGGTTTTGTGGCCATAGACACCTTGCTCCAAGGATTCTGTGCCAAAGTCAACTGAGTGGGAGCTCCAGACCTGTTTGGGTACTACTGGAGCCCTAGGACTGCCCTGGGACTCTAACCCCTCCAGTGTAGGGCTGTTCTTTGGAGAGGCAAAGCAGAGAGACCGTTCAGGCAGCCAGCTGCCAGGGATGAGAGTAAAGCTCTCCTGCCTGCACTTTCTTCTCCTGTCCCAAGGCAGAGAACGGGGTGCTCAAACAATTCACTTCTTTCCACATATATATGTATATATATATACACATATATGTGTGTGTGTGTGTGTATATATATATCTATGTATATATGTGTGTGTGTGTATATAGGTATATATATACATGTACATATGCTTCCCTCACAACATAATGTAAGATGTCATTATTAATAAAAAAAAAAAGGAGGAAGGATCCCATAAATTTTAATGATACTTGTTTTTCTGCGTTCAGGTCAATGCCCAGATCTAGACTGAGCAGCGACACAATTAGGCCATGAGGAGGAGATTTTAATAATCTGATATTCATGTCTTGATTAGAAAGTCCAGTTTCCCTCTTGCCATTCTTCTAAGCTGACTGTTATCTACTTCYGCAAAACCTTAATACTTAGCACTATTTTTCCAGCCATTTTGATTTGATTACATGTTTAATATGAATTTAAAGATGCTCTCTACCTTAATTCCTGTTTCTTGACATATGCTAGATAAAATTCAATTTGCTGTTCTCTGAAACATTACCAGGAATTGCAGTTGTCTTTAATTATTGTTCCTTCTCCATAATATCGGCCATCTTTATAACAACCTGTCAACATAACATATAGATGTGTGAAAAAAAATAATAATTCAAGTGAATTACTGAAAACTCTTGCTACTATTGCATTAATTGGTTGTAATTATTTAGTTGAAAGTCAGCAATATGTTTCCAGTTTCTTCCAAGTAATGCAGGCAGTTTAATGTACTTTATTTTTTTAACAAATATGTTATCATTCATAGTAAATAAAATCAGCATTAGATTCAAAACACCCACTGAAAAATTACCTTACATGTAAGTGGAAAAAGTCTTTCAAATAAAGTTATTTTCCATTACTAAAAAGAAAATATTTCTTATAAAGATTATTAGTCAATTGGATAGACAAAAGTTTTTATAGGTATAGAATTTTTTTTAAATAGTGAGTAGTCAAAAACTATTGTAAAAAATTCTTTTTCTTCACCAGATTAATTCCTCTTTGAAAAAGACAGATCAATTACATTTCAAGACATATGTATGTTTCACGCACTCCCCAAAACCCAGTATAAAACATAAATTGARTGATGATTTATCCCCACAAACACACCCCTCTCATTTTTTTTATTTGATAGCTCTTCGCTGAGAAAAGACTTTGTATGTGTTTTAAGTTATTCCACTTAAATTATTTTATCAGTGCAATTTATTGTCAAAGCTTCAATAAAAGAATGAGCCGGAATGCCTTCACAGGGTGTTGGATTGAGTAAATAACCAACATCGTACATTTATCAGACAGGCCTGTGTTTTCCAGCCCCTTCTGACAAGTGAGACTACAAAGATCACATTCCTTCCCCCGCTGAGAGGGCTTGGACTCCTTTTTCCTCCATTTTCAAGAAGCTTTAGCATAGAGTTGGCTTTCAGATTTGCACAATGTCACGTTTTTCCTCCTAACACGAGTGTGAGGAAGGCCATCCCCTTCTCACAGCCAGGGCACACACATGTAGGCCTCAGCCGCCTGCACTCCTTCATTGCCAGGACAGAAATATGCACTCTAACCCTACATAATTTCACAACAAAGTGCAGAAGTGAAGTAGAGTTGATGTATTTTCTGTAAGTGCCCTCCTTTCCCTGTTGGTCATTTAGCAGSCTATGGGAGATTGCACAGGTCAAATAAATCCCACCCAGGCAGTCTGAGGCCCAAAGGGTCTGCTCTAATCCAACTTCAGCTAAGATCTGAGGTATTTTTCAGACAATATTCAAAGCAAATTACCAAAACACCACAGTTTGTCACAGGAAGTCCCAAAGTCAGCATCAGACAGTAGCTAGAAGGAGGCTCAAGCAAGATATTTCAAAAATATCAAGGGAAGAAAGCACTGATGCAGCATTTGAGCGATGGGACAGAGCCTCACTGGAGCTCTGCTGGCARGGCTCACTGCCTGTGCCCAAGACAAAATACAAACCTGCACGAGTACAGAAGCACCTTTTAATGGTGTATGCATAGGGAATTGAAGATTAAACATCATGCAGTTTCTTTAACCTAGCCAAATGAATATTTTAGAGGGCCAGGAGTACTGCTGGAGGCATCAGTGAGACAACAGAGATAATGTAAGCTAAAAGACACATGAGAACAGAGCGAGAGAATCMGAGATATGTATGCTAAAAAACACATGAGAACACAGCGAGGTTGTCTATCTCTGAATGTATTAGGTTGGAATATTAATACATTTAATGGGAAATTAATTAATTCAAAGATGCAGCTTGATGACTTTGTGAATGGRATTTTATGATGTGAAAATCATTATAGGAAAGAAGAGCTTTGGACACATGGAGACTTCCTTCCCAGTCCAATATTCTTGTACCCTAAATGGCTCTATTTCATTTGCCTCCTGCATTATTGTGAGTATTTCTGTCAGTGAAATGCCTTCAGGTTTGCTCCCTTGTAGATCAGATCATGACCATCATGTAAAAGCAATTAGCAAATTCACTGGCTGTCACTTGTACACCACCAACAGGGTGAGACCCAGTGTGTGGATTTTGAAGCGGCTTTTTATACCATCAGGATAATTGAAACAAAGAGATAAAATAAATAATAAATACAGTCCAGAGATTAAACTCAAAATGTTCTTCTAACCACAAAAATTAGAATGCTACTAATAAAAAGATCCTGAACTTCTATTTGGTATCTAAGGCAGTTTCCTCAGAAACTAAACGTGAAAGCCATGGAACTAAACTGAATGCTGGGTTTATAAAGGCAAACACAAAGCAGTTCCACATAGTTAAATGAATGCTGACCCCCAGCATGGYGCACACCCATGGAGGAAGTTATGGTGTATCTTATTTCTGCTGTACACCAAGATAGTGAATATGTGTGGATCCAGAAACCRCTGAGCAGTTTTATTGCTGTACATTCCAGCCCATGTGAAACACTTCAGTTTATTGCTTTATTTAAAGATGCATGACTCAGGAGGCTCGGAGAGCAAAACCTCTGGCATCCAAAGATCATGATCTTTCAGGTAAAAAGTACTTCAGCATATGTGGTCTTCAAGTGCTTAAATAACTCTTAGTCTAAGGCAGAAGTGTAGTCTCAGTTGCTAAAAGTCAGATAACATGTCAGTTCTAAACATGCTTCCTAGTTTTTTTAAWCTTCAGGTATTCAGTCTTTATTTTTTCTTTTGCATTCCAGTTCCTCAGATATTCCAGTTCTAGGATGATTCTTTAGAGTTGGTTTTGTTTAATTTTTCCCCCCACTTTATTTTGGCTTTATTATTCTCCTTTTACCTTCTAAATTCCTTGTGTAATGAATATCCAATTAAGAGATTTTCAAAATTTGCAGACTTTCTCTCACTTTAAAGTTCAGAGAACCAGGATTTTTTTATGAGATGACATGGTAAAAGATAGTATAAGATGATCTATAGGACAAGTAAAGGTACTTGAATAGAGTAAATATAATTGATACCTCTGGCAGGTATGTTCAGAGTTGCAAAATAGTGAACACAAATGCAAAAATTGGATTAAGAAAGCAGTAAAAATATTACYCCTTCCTATTGCCTTATCAAACCTTCTGTTACACTTCTACATTTTAGAGGTAAACTTGTGGCAGTGCCCACGTGGCAAACTGCTGCAGATTTTGTAAGGATTCAATTCCATGAGACAGTTTGCCAAAGCAGACTCACCAGCTGCCAGCTCTGAAGCAGAAATGCAACTACACATTATGTAGAGCTCGCAACAAAAACCCCATGTTGACCCCATGTTGAAAATAATATACACCACTGCACTGAATAAATATTAAACAAATGTCTTTATTTACATAGATTCCTACAACATTCTTTCAGATGGTTAGAAGCACTTTGGAAAATCAAATTTGTTTGCAGCATTTCTGTCACTCCCACTTATCASATTTTGGCTGCATGCCTAAGAGCACAGCCTCCTGAGTGATAAAATGCAAGTAGCAAGGTTATTGCAAAGAGACAGTTACTTTAAAAAGGTCATGGTAGTATTCTGTTGGTTTTCAGGCTTTTGAAACTTTGGCATATCCTCTAAATTTCCAGCCAGATTTGTCTACTCACAGTAAGAAGATACAGTCTTAAAATCCACAATACCAAATTTTGCTCAGCAGCCTTTCCATGAGCCAGGAGAGGCCCAGTTGTTTGCAGAGCTTTTTTTTTTTTTTTTTTTTTTAATTTTTTTTTTGTTTTTTTTTTTTTTTTTTTGGGTTTTTTTGTTTGTTTGGGGTTTTTTTTTGTAATCTTTAGTACTAAAGATAATTAGTTTAGATTAGTTCTGGATGGACTTCCACTGCAAACCAGCTAGTAAGAAACCAAATTATGCCAGAAATCCTTGTTCTAAACGCACCCSTTCACCTACTCCTTGTTGTAAGCACAACCCTTCATTTCATCCCTGAATCTGAGCTGTCCCAGAAAAAAAAATGTCATTGCAGCACACTTCAGGGAAATGTCATTCAGGAAAATCCACAGTTCTGTTGATGATTTGTTTGTACTGATGGATACAAATATTTAGACCTTGCATGTTAATCTCTGAAACCCTTGAAATTGTTGAGATTACACTAATTTTGACCCAATGAGGTCATTCTGTGAGAAKTTTCAAGTAAAACAAAGGTTCAATCCTGGAGAAATAAAGTCAAATCAATGTTAATGTCCTAGAGACGTAGGACAAAGAAATAAAATATTAAAGAAATAGCAGCAAGTGAAATTCTTACTCCAGTTTCATACTCAGTGACTTCTCTTTGTCCAATATGTCTTTAGTCACATTTTCAGGACGTATACACTCTAAAGATTAATCAGTAATTCTACTATCTRTGTATATTTTCATCATGACAAACTGAAGCTAACCAAGCATTTTCTCTCTACTTACCCCATGCTGGAGGTGGCCAAGGCTCCTCTGACCTGGTGGGCTCCACAGGGTGGTTGCAGACATCCCAGTAGTCAGCACAACAGTCTACAGGCCCAGGAGAGCCTGAGGTACAGTACTGGTCACAGTAACATATAGCTGCTCTGGAGACAATGTTAAAGCTGCAGTCATCATCTCTTCCAGTGCAGCAGCCTCGTATCCTGCAGGACCTTCCCTGATACAGACTCCTTTTAGTTCTATTCCACTTAKCAGGTCCACTGTCTTCTACAGAGTAAAGTCCTTGGGGATAATTTCTTCTAGAATCAAGCCTTTTTGCCATCAAAATTTCACTTACAAGGCAATATAAGAGCAATATCTGAATTTTGTGCCACATTCTTGTGCCTCTAGCAGCCTTTTTTGAGGCCTGTTGTCCTTCACTTTGTTAGCAAATATTAATTTACTCTAGATGTACCTCCAGTTAGCAATCAGAAAGAAATGTGAACATTGCTGCAGACTACAGTTTTCTAGGAAGACTCTCTATGTGTTAATTATTAGTCAGATATGTTGTAAACTGATTTATTTACCCAAGATACAGAGGTACTGGAAACAGAGCCACAACTATGCATTCCTCATTATAAAACTTAGGGTGCAATGTCTTGCAAGACAGAAAGTTTATTGCAAAGTTTCAGAATATACAAAATAGACATGATACAATATTTTTGTTCTATGCTTCAAACTTCTAAAATCAAAACAATGCGAGGAATGAGTACACGGTGTCCAAGGAAGCTCTCCTTCTTTTCATGTACTTATAACCAGCCTGTTGTCCCTGTGATTAGAAAACCTTTAACATTTAGATTGTATTTCATCTGCATTTTCCTTTCTGATGAGCAGAGTTACATCACTGCTGTAAATTTATCCTGCATCCCCCACTTCAGTTTTTATTTCCAGTTTAGCCTTAGAAGCTTCCCTTTTTTCACTTGTTTTTCTGCGGATAAGTTCAGAAAAAAAAACCCCAGGTGATTTCCAGTGTAAACTATTACCCAAACATGTTCTTTTAAGGTTCGCATTTCTGTAGTCAAAATAAACTTGGCAATCATTCTAAATAACATAGTAAATTCCCAATTGCTCATTCCTATTTTAAAAGGAAATGGCTGTATTAACAAATCCACAAAGAAAACCAGAGCAGATGTCAAGGATAAGTCTAACAGCCTTTGCTACCTGATCTCTAATCTCCAGGTTTTTGAGCAGCAGGCCTAAAGAAATATACGTGGTATGATTGCCAAACGTAAAAGATTCAGAAAAAGCTTCCAAAGAACTTTGAAGTTCCTACCAGAGATAACAAATAAGGCTAAATTGTTAAAAAAATAAACCACCCAMAGTTTCAAATTAGAACAAGACAATTTAAGTCTCCAAAGCTGAAGCAAGATAAAAACCAGTTATTATTCTCTCTTCATTTCTTAGTAAGTGAAAGGAACCTGGAGAAGTTGATGGTGGCCAGTTTTCTAGGGAATGAAGGGGATTTTTCCCTTTGTGATTTCAGCTGAGCTGCTTGGGAAGGTATAGCATCAAAGGGCAGCTGCTTTTGAAACACAGCTGGTGTGGCTGTACTGCCATGAGTGGCAGAGATATTAAGAGGAAATGTGCGTGTAGACGCATATATATGGCTTGTAAGCCGAATGTTGAAGTCTTCAATACAATTTCTTGTCAGCAGTGCTTTCCTTGGACCCGCCTCCCACACTGTCTTAGTCACAACTAGTGACACTCTCTTAGTCACAAGGAGCTGCAGAGGAGGGAAAATTATATCTGAACAGACAGTTTTTATTTTGCTCTCTGGCAGGCAATCCTCTGTGTGAAAGATAATAGAAAGGCCAAGGTCAGCAATAGGCAATCACTATCCAATATATTAATAGAACATAAATCTTAGCCTTCAAATTTGCTCTGTCACTGACTGCTATAAAGCAACAAATATAAGGGAAATGAAAAAGGGCATATTCATGGAAACAGTGAAACGCTCTCTGGAAATTATAATTCATTCATTTTTCTTATRTCTGTGCAGCTCTGTCAGCTCTGAGAGAATGACTTGCACTGACATTAGCCAAATTAAAATCTCCTTTGTATTACAAATCTTCAAAAATATTTTTACACTGTCCTTGCTCTGGGAGCATAAACAAAAATAAGACCTACCATATGTGGCAAATGTCTGCTAGTCAGCTTAAGTGAACTTTAAAGGTTTGCTGATGATAACCAGAGGTAAGAAATTTGCTTGGAAATCCGTTCATTTACACAGGAGTGAGATTTCTGTTAAAGGAACACAAAAATCAGCTTGTGCTTCTAAGCACCTTTGTTTTGCAATAAACTTGATATAACCCRTTTTCCCCAATTGATGGCCTGTGTTCAAACCTTAAAAAAASSTCACAAAAATCTTCCATTGTGGCTCAGCAAACACATTATTTTTTTAGCATTTTCCTCTGTAAGCCAAGAAACTCTGTCTTTACTCTGTGAAAGTACACACTGACTTGTCTGTTACAATTTACAAACAGCTAGACATGACCCTTTTTCTCTACTGAAAATTAGCCTATTCTGAGCATAACAGCTCTCCTAAGATTTTGAGTTAAGGTCCTAGTCCTAGTTCTAGTTAGCACAATTAAGTTTATCTTTCAGCAGTTCTTGTGTCTACTGTCAAGCTTCAGAAAACACCACACATTTGACAGGAAATCAAATATTTATAGCATTGAATGATTGGTGAAATAATAAACCTAAAAAGAAATCAAAACATTARAAAGTGTCCAAGGATGTCTTTAAAGTTGGATCCAGGTTATATCACAGCCTTTCTTTCAAAAGTCCTAATTTGTCTGACAGAGCCTACTYKGCATCATAAAAATCTCATCACCTTCAGAGGAGGGTAGCTAGCAGGAGTTGGATTCTGGGTGCTGAAGGTGACTCCCAGAATAGACAGCAGAGCCCACCCCATCAGACAACCATGACACTTTCCCTTCTCCTGGTTGCCACAAGCAGACTGGAGTCAAGCCTTGTGCAGGGGGAATCACAGTACTACTACCTTGTGCCAGGAAAGGGACMATCAGGAAGTTAGGGAAGAAATCATAACGCCAGATCCCAGATCAGTTATTTGCCAGGAGGCACAACTCAATGCATCAGAGAATCCACATAATTTCTTACCTTCTGTTTAAACTCTGTCCATCCCCTTCATTGAATTCAAATGGCAATTCAACTGGTGACTCCTGGCATAGAATGCGTCACTGATTTCTAAAGGCCCCAATACTTTATGCTCACTACTCTTCATTGTTAATAGTTGCAATGCAGTAGAAGTTTTCAAAGCACAATAACTTCAACAAAATTATTATCCCACAATGTACTCTCTCTCCCTTGTACTAACAGCAGAGTAGGATTCATCTTCCTACATTGTGAATGACTAGCTCCTAGATGTGTTTATGCAGAGACAAGCTGTGTGTTAAAGTGATTTTCTCACTGTCATTTCAGTCTTTGTATGTTTCAAGCAGTTGTAGGAATGGGGGTGCCTTCACCCTGTTTGGCAAGAGCCTGGCAGCTCCCTGCTGTGGGTTGTCGGTGTGGTAGCAAGTAGTGCCACTTTCAATTCAAAATTTCAGGGCTGTCTACCTCAACTTTTATGAAAYTAACCCAAGTTACATGTAACTTGGGTTAGAATAATCGTCTCTTATGTGACAAATTTTATCAGATATTGGAGTCCTGTCACAGTGTGACTTGTTCTACACAGTCTCTGGGACCAGTTCGCCCATATAATCAGATATTTGAATCAACAGGTTTAGGGTCAGAGGTAGAGGAAGAGCAGTTGACCCAAATTGCACATGCCAAAGAAATCCTATTCCTCACACACAAGATTCACAAATACAAGTGCCCAAGAATTCAGAGTCAACAACAGCAAGTAAAAAGAAATTACTTTATAGGTGCTATATATATATATATATATATAWAACATAGTATATTACTATTATTATCATTATCTTTATCATAATCATTATTATTATTATTACTATGTTGCTATTACCTCACAGCCTTTCACTCTACCCATCACAGTAATTAACTGTGCCTGTTTCCCCCACCCAGCTGCATCACTTGATCAATCTCAAGGAAGCAGGCACCATCTCCTTTTTGCCAGCCATGGTCTTGCACTGTGCCAAGAGCAGGTGACTCTGGACTCAGCCCAGGGAAGCCTGTGAAGAGTGGGGGATCCTGTGCAGGAACCAGCACAGTGTCCATGCATCATGAAGCTGCAAGTGCTCTCCAAAGCTGTGTTTCACTAGGACTTACAGAACAGGTAACAGCAGTTATTGTGGCTCATACCTGAATAGGAACCTCTCAAGAAACACAACCAGGCATGGAAATTTTGGCAGTGATCCCAATATAGGATAGACAACATGCCACCTTTGTTATGCTGTCAGTGCAGACTATTGTAAACTTTATCCTGTGCATGGCTGTATATAGCTTCAGAGAGGTGATATTTACCAATTGAATTTGCCAATCCCAAACCTCATCARCCAGTTAGAGGTGAAGGAGACAAGGTTTATAATGTATTTCATTGTCAGTATGTGCTTTCAGAAGTATTGTGCTGTTATGCAAGGAAGTTATGCACATATTGGTGATCATCTCAGTTGTGCGGTCCTATCTGATCTCATCCGTGTCTTAGAATCATAGAATCATTAATGCTAGAAAAGGAATTTAAGATCACCRAGCCTATCACTCTGTTGTCCACTAAACCATGTCCCCAAGTGCCACATCCTATAGAACAGTTCCAGGGATAGTGAATCTACTTACCTCAGCAGCCTATTTCAATGTCTGACCCTCCTTCCAGTGAAGAAATGTTTTCCTAATAGCTAATCTAAATCTCCCCTAGTGTAACTTGAGGCCATTTCTTCTCATGCTCTCACTTGCTACTTGGAAGAAGAGATTGATCCCCACCTGGCTACAACCTCCTTTCAAGTATTTGTAGAGTGATGAGGTCCCCCCTGAGCCTCCTTTTCTCCAGACTAAACATCCCCAGCTCCCTCAGCCACCCCTCGTAAGTSTGTATCATAATCCTCTTAAAAGGCTAATCCTCAGTGTTGCTGAGTTGTCACTWTTTGGTTCTCTGTTTTCAAGGATTTATTTTATACCTTAAAGTACAGGGTTTTTTTTTGTTTTTTTTTTCATTTTCTGGCCCTGAATTGCTACTCTTACCATCCAAAAAAAATACTTCTCTCTGTGCTTTCACTTTTCTCTTTTTTGTAGCTTGTGAACTTCCTGAGACTTAAGCAATTATCTCATTAAAAGTGAGGCAAGAYCACAGAGCTGTGCCACACCAAACTAGGCTTTGGATACCAGTCAGCTGAACCCTGGGGCYGAGGGCTGTCCTTATTCTGATGCAGCACCCAGATTTTCTCAACTATGCCACTGTCCAGAGACATCCCTTGGGCTGGACACATTTCCCTTCTGACCACTTGGGCCAATTTKAATAAGTCATTTTCTTGATAGCTCGAGTTTTAGCACATAGCAACAAAAGAAACATCACAAGCATGCACAGGGTGGGGTGAATATTGCATATCAGACTGCAAGAGAAGTTGAGGCAAAAAGGAGATCATAAGCCCTCATTAAACATAGGCAGTCATTGTGATCCTGATAGGAATGTATATTTTACCAGGCMATAATTACTAAAATCAGAGTAAAGGCATCAGAACCTGGACTAAACAGATGACATTACTGAATAAGCAGCATCTATTAATTTTCTAGTATTACAGAAAAAGAAATCATTTTCATGTCGTTCTGCTGTTTACAGCCTCTCCCTAAAGGTTTTCTTTTCTCTTAATACTTTGTCCATTGGTTTCCCAGGATACACTTTCTAGACTGTAATTGCTACTATAATCTCATTTTTCATTCATAGATGGAAGGTGTTTGAACATAGAAGGAAACTGTTTTCTTGAAGTATGCACTGATCAATAAACTCACAAACCCAGGTCAAAAGGATTGCTCCTTTATCCATCTTCTAATTCCTAGTTCTTTCTCTTCCTGTTGTTCCTTTCACCTATAGGCTTCAGTTTATCTCATGGGTTAATTTAAACCTAAACCTAACCTTGTGAATAATTCTCTCAGCTATACATACTAGAATGGATTTGGGCTCTACAAAATTGAAATTCAAGAGGAAAAGAAATTTGGGGTTGAAACAAATTCAGAACAAAAAAAAATATGGGCAGGAAAGCAGACTAAAGACTTCTGAGAATCACACAGATCACAAATATGAATTTTGCCGACTTTAGTGCTCTATTGAAAACAAAAAATACTATTAGATCCTTTGTGGGTAGATCTATTAGACCTTCTACATTTATAGTTATAGATGTGTTTATATGTATTTATTTTTATCTATTTTTTAAAGTTTTTTATACTTTTTTGTTCTATTTGTATGTGCAGATTTCCACCCCCAAAAACTCCCTCTTTTACTCACTTAAATGCTTTTTCATTTTTTTTCCACCACCCATTTAATAGGCATGCCATTCACAGGGCCCATACATTTCTTCCATTGAGAAAGAAACTAATATGAAAAGTCCCACCCTTGTATGTGTATCAAACTTTTCACAATTTTCTGGAAAATTAATATATTACCTACAGAGMGAGACTTACTGATTGATGACCTTTTCTTGTATGTTCACAGTTCCAGAGTCCAGCTTAAAAGCAGGCTGAATTGAAGTACACCAGGTCCAATAGGGCAATAGGCTGAGAAGCCTATGGACTACTCCATTTAARCTGATTTTAATTTTAATGTTTTAACTTACAGTAGTATTTCATAAACTAGTTCATCACACTAATTTTAATGGAAAAGCAGGGATTCTCATTAAAATATCAATCTTAATCACAATGTATCAGGAGATAAAATGCTCTTGCACTCTAAGACAAGGCTGCGATGCAAAGGTCCTGAGCATGTTGTCAGTCACCTGTGGGGTGCCTTGTGGTTCAAAGGACCAAGAGACTGGGGAGAACTCAGTTAAACCATGCAAGTGCAGACAATCAGCTTCATTAGATTTTCATAATATYGTTTGGAAGCAAAATATTTAAGATCCAGGCTTGGGCAATATCATGCGGAAGCAGTACAAGATCAAAAACATATCAGCATAAACAGAGAAGTGGTGTTTCTTCCCGGTGTGCCAAGAGTGCAGACGGTAATTCTACCTGCACTCAGCACCTGACTGGTCAAAAGGGCTATGAATATTACATGGTAGAGAAAATCTGCTGTGGATGCTGAAACAAATGTGAGTAATCTCCGGACTACTTCACAAAACACAAGTGTCTGTGTGATGGCAAAATGTGACCAAGGTTAAGTGCCCAGGAAYATTCCTTTCCCAGCAATGCTGGCATTTGTTCTCAGCTACTTGAAAGCCATGGAGCCAGATTAACAGGAGTAAAAACAATGATCTCAAAAAAACCTTTGCAACAAAAATACAAGTTTATTTAATTTTAATATTTATATYATTTCTAAAGGAAATATGCTGTGTTTTATTGGGCATCTCTTAAACCAGCAAGCACTTCAAGAAATGGCATATTCATGTATTCATGTGTATCTCTGGGGTTAATTATGCTAGTACATCTTGAAAGAATATTTGATTGTTATTACTGCCTTGCTAGTAGCATACAGGAAGCATTTTTTTTTTTTTAATGGTGCTTTAGATAAGCTTGGTGCTGTAGATTCTTTCTCAATATAGAAACAGGCTTCAAAACACAGTTTTAGCTCTTGATAAACAGGCTTCAAAACACAGTTTTAGCTCTTGATCCTGATTTGGGGCTGCAAAAGAAGGATTTTTGCATGAGCACAGTCTGACAAAAATAGATTAGTAAAATGCATAACATACACTGAGGTCACTTAGTTTTCTAGTTTATACAACACAATGATCTGGCTAGCAAATAGAATTCATGGTTTCATAGGAAAAAGAAAAAAAAAAACCAACCCTAAAGATACATTCAGCCGCCTCCTTTGAGCTATAGCTGTGGGAGAAGATGAGAGCCAGCAGACCAACTTTATCTTGTGAGAAACTTGCCCGTCTTTGCAGCAGCCTGAGGCAAACCGCTTTTAGGACTTAAATCTTCACAGAGCTGTAACTGTTCAAATTCAAGCTAAATCTCTCTCTCTSAAATTTAGGCCCATTTCTTTTCCTCCTACTCTCAGGAAAGATGGAAAAGTGACTAATATCCCTTTATAATAGTCCATTATGAAGTGACAGGAGACGCTGTGCCTCTACTCTGTCCTTATTTCTTATTTTCTGTGTGAAGACACYGAGGCCTTTACATCTTTTCTAAATTTCCCATCCTATGCCACTGATTTTGCACTAATACTGAAAAGAAATGAGTAATTATCTTCATCATATTATAWGCATTCCTTTCAACATCTCCCTGAAATGCCATTTTGCATAAGAGCATCACCTCTTCTACGCAGACTCAAYTTGTCCTCCCTGATAATCCTCAGGTTTTCATCTGCAGTATTATTGTCATTCCTCGGCTGCCTGTACCCCTCATATTTCTTTGTATTTTTCTTCAATTAATTGTATCATATTTATTTCAAGCCATTCTTGTAATGCAGATTTTTTTTAAAATTAAAATCTTGGGTTCTGTGCTGCTTGCAAGTCCTCCCAAATGGGCATTACCTGTAAATTGGGTAAGTTTATTGTCAGTGGCATTGAGAAAGTAATTAATGGCAAAGTTTTATAGTGCTAGAGCCAGAAGMCAGCATTCTGGAAGTCTATGAGATGTTCTCCCGCTTTGGCAGCAAATAATTCTTCYCAGAGTCCAGCTCTCCAATCAGCTACATATCTACCTTATGCGAATTTAATTTAGTCCATATCTGCTTTGCTTGCTTATGGATGTCGTGTGGGACTGTGTTGAAGATACACTATATAAAACACATTCTTATATCTGCTTTGCAGTCACAGAAGGAAATGAGATCAACTTGATAGGATTTGTTTCTAACATGTCCCTGTGAAAATAATCTTATCTTCTTACCAGTCTCTAGATGACTACAAATTTGCTGTTTAATACTTTGTTCCAGGGTCTTGGAAGTGCTGTTAGGACTGAATTTTCTGTAATTCTTTAGATTTTCCTTTCCTCTTTTGCTTAGATAAAACATTGTGTTTGCCTTTCTCCAATTTTCTTGGAATTTTCTCATCCTTCTAATCAATAGTGTTCGAGAAATGGCTTAGGTTAAGTATTTTAAGGGTAAATTTCATTAGGCTGTGCTATCCTGAATGCTCTAATTTACCTTAGTATTCCCTCAGGTGTTATTTGCTATTTCTCTCCATGATCCTAYTCTCAAATTCTTAATAATAATAGAAATAAAGTTTTAGTCATAATTAATCTCTTTTTTCATGAAGACTGAAACAAAGAAAGAAAAAAAAAMCRCTTTGAACTTTTCAGCCTTTTCAGTATCACCTCTCTTGCTAAGYAGTACATTGAATCAGCTCTCAAGCRTAGCACATTATTTGCAGTGTGGCATTGTTTAACTCTAGTAAACCATTCCTTTAATGGCACTATGTGGTTATGTGCTTAAATATAATAAAAATTCATCTTMTTTCCCTGACTTCCCTTCACAATCTTATTCCAGTCTAAACATCAATTTCTTCCAACTGTTTGATTGCATCCTACTTAAAATTAATTCTATGGTGAATTTATTCTGTCATGCTAAGAATTGGAACTATTCTGCATTGGTAATTATTCATAGAAAATCATTCACCAAACATAGCCATCTCGTTATMCAAACACTGAATTGTGTGCCTAAAGTATCCTATCATCCTTTTAAACAAAAGGATAAAAATTTGATAAAGTGACACCAAAGTAGTTACATATTCAAATTGTGACTGCAATCAAGTTAGAAAAAATARTAATACTCACCATCATGTCTAAACAGAACCTCTTTCATTGGAAACCTATAGAAAAATGAAAATAAAAGATTAAAACAAAGTGACGAGGAAAATAAAAACTGCAGTATGTTATGCAAGAACAGTTGTAAAAACTGGTGGACAACTTCATACAGCAGTTTGTCTTCTTATTTTTGAATCAGTGATTTTCTGCACTGTTAATTTACAACTCTGCTTACTGAACCAGGAATGATTTTCCATGCATTGGAATGTTTGAGGAATTCCTCTGCACACAGCAAATTTCAACAGACAAGCATCACCTTGACTAAATGCACATCAGAGGACATTTCTGACTAACTGATTTTCCACTTTCTACTTCTTTTCTTGAACCTCATGTTGGGAGAACAGAGTGTGTTGCCATGTTTGCATTCACATGACATAGGTGYTGCTTTCTTCCACTTTAGCAAGGATTTTGCCACAGTCTCCCAGAATAGACTGGCACCCAAACCRAGGAGTAGGATAGACTACAAGGTGGACAAATAGCTGGCTGCGACACTGGTCTAAAAAGACAGTAGTCAATGGTTCAAAATCTCTGTTTAAGGTAGTACTTCAGAAGATGCCAGAGTGATGTCTCCATCAGAGACCTAAAGAGCCTATATGTCCAAGAAGTCTGTGGATGTTCCTAATTTGGAGGGGTGAGAGAGACTGATATGCCAAGGGTATGACTCCCATTGTGGAGGACTTTGYCACACTGGAGGAATGGACTAGCAGAAGAGTTGTGAACAAAGGAAATACAAAATCCTGCATGGGCCATGGGACAAGGAGGCATAGAGGAAGCAAATAACCCATGCAATGGTATAGGCCAGTGATTGACTGGCTGGGTAGCAGCTCTGCTAAGAAGGATGTGAGGTCTAGTTGACACCAAACTGGATGTGCATCAGTCCATCCTTGTTGTGATGAAGGGTAACCTCATACACTGTTGCATTAATTAGAGTAGAGCCAACAGGTTGTAGGAAGTTGTTCCCTTCTGCTTAGCACTAGTGAGGCTGCATTTGGAACACAGTTTTCATTTTTGAGCCCTCACAATAAAAATAGTTTTTGCTTTGTCAAGCAAACAGAGGAAACAAGTAGAGCACTATCAGGATGGTTGCAAGTATTTGTTGATTTCTGGGAAAGGCATGTGGCAGATGAGGGGTGGCTACAGCACTTGTTTAACCTGAAGTGTAGGCTAAAGGGAATCTATTTTCCTWTCCGGCTATTATGAAGGGTTTATGACAGCTCAGATTTGGATGGTGAAGGAAAACAAGGCAACAAGTGGGAATTTTTTARCTAGTCATAAGGAAAAATATTTTTTATCGTAAGAGTGGTCAAACACTATAGCTAATTTTAATCTGATTCTATGATTCTAATTATACATTACTGAAGTATTGAATAATAAAAAAAAAGCCTTCTTCAGGCTATAACTATGCTTTCACCACCCATTCAGGGCAAACTCTTTTCCTCTAAAGCTATTACTCAGTACTCCTGCCATTCTTTGAAGGGGACCAAATGCAACAGCTGTTTCTTAATGCCAAGTAGAATTAGATTAAAATTCCAGTTTGATATTTTCACACTTTATCACTCTTATATTATTACCCTTTCAGTCTTTTAAATGTAAACTTATAAAATTAATATACTTATAGTAATTCCTTCCATGTGATCACATTACAAATAAAATCCTATAAATGTGTATAATGCTTTTTCTTTGTTAAGGCATGKTGATCTAATATGGTCTTTCAAGTTAGTAGGCTGTAACTGATGGTTTCTAGTTAAAACAARGAGATATAATTGAAGCTGACCCAAAGTACCTATTGCAATATAAATTTCCTGTTGTACATATAAAGTCTTAAAAAAATTAAAACATTGAAGGTATTGTTCAGATATAAAGTAGAAAGTTTGTCTGCTGATATTTAAAGTTTTTATTTGAGAATTTAGAAGTGTGTGTTGACTTTAGAAGTGTGTGACAAGTGTTTGGACTTGCCTTTCTAATTTTAAGTATCAGAAGGCTACAGCTTACTGYTCCCTTTCAATGGACCATGCAGTTTGCAGATTAAAAAAAATTGTCACAGCTAACACCTGAAAACTTTACTCCTTTAGTAAAAAGAGTAGTTATTATTGATTTTAACATTCATTTGCAGGGTCATTAAATTTTCAGCYAAATGAGCTTTTATAATGTTATGGAGAGAGCTTAGGGTTGCAGTCCTTGGCTTGGTCAAAATAAACTAAGGATAGTGAGACCAATACTCCAGAGAGGAATTGGCAGCAGTGTGCTGCCATACCAGTCTACACCAGCTCTCCAGTGTCTGGGGAACAAGGCTGAAAACTTAGGCAACATTGAAAGCAAATCAATAGCACATCCATGATGTGACAGGTGAAGAGCCCATGTCTCTCTCTCCTAGAAAAGCACAAGAAGCAACACAGGCTTTTTTTTCCCCCAATACATCTTGAAAGGCCTTTCTCAGCACCAAATGGAAAAAGGCTTTCATAAAGTCGACATGGGTGGGAGTGTTTCCAGTAGAATTCCATCTGCTTTCACTAGGTATGTAACACGTCCCTGTCCTTGCTTTGACAAGTTGGAATCCTTTTTATGAGTTCAAAAGGTGTTGAGCAGYGAGAGCTGAATCATTGCAGAATAAAGCAGGATCCAAAGGTGGAGGARCATTTACCTTGAAGAACATCACTTTGCTGTGATAATGCCATTTAGGTTGGAGCTTTTGTTTGAAGTAAACCCCTGACAAAAATTATTTGGTACAAGGACACCTTCATTAAATGCRTGCATTTTCCTCTTTTATGTAGAATCTATCAATGATTAATACTATTGTTGACTTCTGAGCAGGAGCACTCCTTAAGTAAATAAAGACTAAGAGCAATGTATAACAGAACTTTGGACCTTATTGACATTTTCATAGAATTTCAATTTTCAAGAACTTTTGCTACTTTGCACAAAAGACAGTCTGTGAAATCCTGTCACCACTGAAGTCAATGAAATCTGCTTTTTCTCATGGGGACTTTTTATGAATGTTGACTTTAGAGATGTTATTGATTTCTCAAGTAAATATTGCAGATTTTTCATGAATAACAAAMGGATAAAACTGAGTAACTGCTCAACAGCAGCAAAAGATTACATGGACMTAAAGTAATTGTATTAGTAACTGTAATTAGTCATTTATTAGTAATTGTAATTGTAGACTTGAAATTTTGCAAATCATAGACGAATAAGGGTAATGAGGACATACTTTTAGCCCCTGCACACACTGTTTTTTTCAGACTATACAGGTGCATATGCCCCATGTTTTCCCCAAGTCTCAGTACAGTTCTGAGAATTATTAAAACATAATTCACACATCATAGCCCAGGMAAACACTAGCTTTACTTGAAGACAGTGGATATCAGAAATCATTGGCATATTGCTTGGTTAGGTTTCAAAGARTATCCTTCAGACCTCCTCCATTTAAAATTCACTGGTTGTCGAGGAGGATTTCACAAGGAGGATAACATCTCTTATTTGTTTTCTTGCTTTCACAGGGAAGTCACAGGTTTTGTTTGGTTCAAGCTGTTACAKAATAAGGTTAAAATTACATGAAGAATAGAATGCTATTCCTCAGAATACAAAGGTAACACCTTTTTTTTCAGTTTTTTAAAAAATTTATTTCAAAAAAAGTGAATAATTTGCTTTGAGGAAAACAATACAGATTACTAAGGAGAAACTAATAGCACATTCCCCTTGTTCCCTCTCTCACTCCTTCCTAGAGGTCAAGGAGGTGTTTACATTTCACAGAGCATCTACCTATCCGTTTGTTTTTTGAAACTGCATAAATCACACTGACATTCTCACTCTGAGGGAGGAACATTGCAGAAGTATGAGCCTAAATGTAATTTTAGATAAAGAGGGCAGATAATAATTTAGATAATATAAGACAGTGATCTAAGTCTTATGATAGCAGCAAAAGTAATATTGGGCTTATGACTTGGCAGATTTTTTCCTAATCAATTCATTATACAAACAGAATTCACTGATATAAAAAAAAAGACATTTTAAATTAGCTGGGGATCTGTGCATTATGCAAACTCATAAGGTTTAAATTCAGTATAAACTGTTCCTAGAGTCAAGGTAGAGTCAACCTATCTTGACTTCTTTATTTATTTTCCTAAATAAAAAGAGCAATGCAAGTACCTGAAAGATGATATGGTTTTAAAAATCGTCAACCAAGATTTACCTTGCTTTTTTTAATGCACTGGAAAGGGAAAGCATTATAGCATACAATTCTGAAAACCTAACCACATGATAGAGAAAACCTAACCAAATGACAGAAAAAAACAGTGAAAATGTGTTTGTTTTTCAAAGACAGCTCAACAGCAACTTATCTCCAAAAAGCCACCACCCTCAGGCAGAAGACTGTCCCAAATGTCTTGAGCTTCTCCTAGTTCTGTCTGTTAAATTCCTGTCTGTCTACAAGATCAGCATAAATGCTGATCTCCTTCTGGATATCAGTGCTGTATATTTCCATTTCCATCAGCAGATCTCAAGTGAAACAGATGCCTTTGTTCAATCCTTCTTGACTGAGAATGAGAAAAGGGGGTAATCTCTATATGAATTTGTGTCTTCTCTGCCCCCAGTAAACATACAAAGGCATAGCTCAGCCTTCATATGGCCAGTATGGTGTGCCCTGGTCACCCCCTCCTGCTAAAATGAGATTAATAATTGGGGAAAAAATTAGATAACATGCTCTGTACAAGTGTGTTGAATTGTTCTATGAAGAATATTTTCTTTGTTTTGTAGTGGAGGAAATACTAAATGCATCTCCCAGTGTTACTTCCTAAGCAGCTTGTGGTGAACCTGACACAGTTCTTCCTGACATATCTACATGGGCTGGAGTCCACCTGCATAGTGATTGCTACAGAATACATGTTAGTGGCAGGCCCCAGGAAATCAGCACAAATAGTCAGCTTGCTCAGATGTACAAAATGGTATCTGACACAGTTTTCTGACTTTAAAACTAATTATTTGCCTCTAGCTAACATTATTATAAGTAGTGAATGACTGTCATCCAATAAGACATTAATCAAAGGAAATACAAATCATATTGATAACAGCACTTCTACCTCTTCTTTCTGACTGATTGTCTTTGGTCTAATAAATGCAACCACAATTTCATCAGATACATTTGTTCTAAAGGTCATGGTACTAATTCTCCCACTGTWGCAGTACATTAAGCTTTTTAATAAATTGGTTAATGGAAATTTTGTTCAAAGTGCTTGTTTAAAATATAAGGGAACTTTTAGAAGACACTTCTATATAGTCTATCTGCCTTGGAACAGACCAAATTGGCCTCTGACTAAAGGAATTTTTTGTCATTATTAATTGTTAATTAATTGTTAATTAATACAAAATCTTTTCAAGAATATCACAGTCACAGTAGTCTGACTTTACTATGTCAGTACAAGATGTTTCACTTTCTGAACTGATCTTAATAATGCATCAATTAAATTATGTGTCTTGTCTCTTAGAGAATTCTCTTTGAAAATGTCTCTTTCCATTAGATTTGCAAAATTTTCCTCAATGTGCAAATTGTAAAGAAGGATGAGAGACAAGGATCTAGGTGTTTGCCTCTCTCTATCTTATTTTCAAATATAGGAAAATCATCTGCATTATCAGAGGCTGCAAATACATACATTTGCAATTACACGTAAGTACAAATATGTATATATACCCACATTTTAGATCTCCTGGCGCAGTACAATCAGCTGAACTTCAAAACCAAATTTCTTATCAGAATTATGTAGTTCCTCTCACTCACTTCTAAAGCTATACCTTTACTTCAACAATATTTCAGAAACTTTACAGCTGAGATGGAAAAACAACCTATCTGAGAAGATCTGCAAGGTACTCGTGGTCTAACTTCACTTTGTGAGGGCATTTTGGGTCTTTCTTTGAATAGTTCCATAGCACACACTGTAACAACTGCTTTTGAGAGAATCAAGAAGTGGCTCCTGGGAGGCAGAAGRAAGGGGATTGATGGTGTAGAAACAAGCAGAAATGTCAAAGGCAAGGAACAAAGGAGGATGTTTGGAAGGCTGTGATGAAGATTCAAACAACAAGAGATAAGAAATAGCCCCAAGTCCCTGGCACCCTGCACAGAGAGGTCAGGGATGCACATGGGAATAAGAGGCTTCGGTCATGCCCATATGCTCCTGGTACACAACAGCATTCTGTTGATCTGCCCAACAAGTGAGATATCAATCTCTTTTCATTTTAATCTATTTTTACCCTTTTTTTTCAGTGGAAACTGAGATAGCCTGTGAGAATATGCTGTCAACAAACTCAGAATTCAGGCAAATCCTCCACTTCCAAAATGTGAAGAGTTTGACCCCCAAACTCCCAAAATATCTTTAAAAACTAAAAGAAAGTTACTACTTTGGTAGAAATTATTGGCAAGCATCCATTTCTTATATTTAAATTAACACATTGTTGGTTTTAGACAATCTAGAATCTAGTTTTAAAGTAATAAATTTAAAATAAACTGTTTATAAATATGTAATTATCATTCCCATCTATATTTTTAATTCATTAAAAAACTAGTCAAATTATTGTGACCATGCACCTGGTAAAAGAATTTWAAAAAATCATTCCTGTGTCATTAACATACACATAGTTCTATTATTGGTAGTAGTAATAATAAATACTTCTTCTGGTAGTAAGTTATGCCCTCATAGGTGAATTTCTAAAATAGTATTGAAAGTGTCCTGTAATGAAAGATGCTCTATTGCATTCCAAAGCCAGAGTTGAGTATGTTAGTTAATTGAATTAGTAAGTTTATTTCAACATTGAGGCTATAATTCAGCTTCATGCTCATGACCTTGTTGGGTAAAAGGACTTGCCTGTGCCAGTCAAACCTTTTTAATTCTCTATGTGTTTTGTCTCAAGAGAAAATTTACAATGACTAATAGATTACTTCTGCTGTCASTGAATGAATTATCTAGGGTCATAACCATTATGGTCCTAGATTTTAGATATCTAAAGCTAGTAGAGAATTAGCCACTGAATTTAGACTCCAAGAAAATTTGTGTTCTTCTTCAAAGTCAAACAAAACTGGCGCTGAATTTTGTTACTGGGCAAACTTGTACTAGGTTTTATGTTTTCTTGACTGTCTTTTTTTAAATTCTTAATAACTAATTATCCTAAGTGCTTCTGGTAGCTGTTGCAATGTCTGATATTTAAAACAGAAATTATACTGGCAACTGAAAACTGTGGAATGTGTTATTTAAATATGACTCCATAATTTAATAAACGGCATAATTTTACCATTCCCACTTGCTAACATCTCCACAGCACATATCAGGAACTCAAAGCATAAATGTTAGTGCTATTTCAAATTCACATCAGCAACACAGGCAGCAAATTAACTTCATTTATTTTCTTCAATGATCATTAAGGACAATTAATGTTTATTTAGTCTCTGCACAGGACAAAAGCAGGTTTGGAAGCTCAGCACATTTTTACTGATCAACTTTATATGAGCTATGTAAATAAAAGATAAAGCTAGCAGGCAAATGATTAAACCCCTTAAATATCAACTGATTACCTCCTTAGAGATGAGTGTCTCATTTTCTGGAATAGGCACCATGGGATGACTGGGCTGCCGAGCCAAGATGTCACASGTTGGAAAAGGCATAAAGTTAAAAACAGGAAAAATAAATCCATTATCAGTTCAATTTCTATATAAAATATTGCCAAAATTTATTATTAAAGCAAATACTCTCAGACATACAAGGGATAGCAAGGCAATGAGATCTCATTTGTGTTCAGCAGAATCTTACTATCCTTGGCTGTCTGAAAATCTATTTCAAGGTATGGTCTGTTTTCTGTTATATTATATTCCCATGGTTAAAAGGGTGGGGAAGGGCATAATCCCTCTTGAATTTCAAAGAAGCTTCTCAAGTAAATGTCACAGTAGGAGCACCTGCTTTATGATACATTTAGCATGAGATAATGCACATAAAGYTATTTAGAATTGCAACCGTATTTCTGTCATTTTGAATATCTGTCTTCTTATATCTCCTCCAAAAGCATTTTCCTTAATCTGAAATTTCATAGGCATAAATCACACAAACATTTCACAAAAAATGCTATATAACAGTAATTAGAATGTGCAGAGAACTGTTTTAAATCTTAGTAACTTTCCAGTGTTTTGAATATTATATATCTTGCATCTGAGTGATGAAGTTTGATGGCTGTGATTCAAGTGAAGAACCATATGAACTCCAATGAGATTTTAATTAGAATGCAGGTAAAAGTATCAGCTGGAGCTTATAAAGGCAATGTTAAGACCATAAACTTGTGACATTTTCCTATGGAGTGACAAAGAGACATCATCTCTAAACAAAAGGTCACTGAAAGTTTTTGGATTTGAGTATATTAGAATTTTACAAAAACAAGATTGGAAGAAGCCTGCTACTTTCAATATATCAAAGGCAYTAATTTATTTTGGCATTTAGATCAAATAGTAAATCAACAAATTATGTGTTGCTTAAAAATTTTGCTTTTCTAAGATAATTGATTTTTACACTGCGCTTTCTGAGAAGGAAAACTGATCTGCTAAACTGACCCTGTACACAAAGAAATATACTGAAGTGGAATATAGTCTAATTTTCTGCAATTACTTTAYGGATGTGATATGTATTGCTCTCTTCCTTTGTAAATTTGCCCTGATTCCTTTCCAGGGAGGAAGCAATCTACTTCAGCAGCAACAGAAGCTTTGAACAATTTAGCTTCTTTTTTCATTATTAGGATTCCCAAAAATGATAAGGCAAGTGAAAAATTTTAGATAACACATTTATTTATTTATTTATTTATTTATTCAATTAATTTTTACAAAGGAATAAATTTAGGCAAAAGAAGGGTCAAGAAGGGTAAGATGCCCAGATCCTCTCAGAAGAAACATCCCTTCCTCTGATGCTCTTGTGGCTTCCAGTGTCAATGAGGCAGCTGYCAAGACATCCCCCAGACCTCCCACCATCCCCCTGCTGCAGCACATATAGGAGGTGTTTGATGGTCTGATGGGAGACAAACTCTGTTTCCAAGCTCAGCATCCTGTGATTACCCAGGTTGGGCAATCCTTCATGATACACAGGTACAAAACTGTTAGCAATTTAAATAAACACTAGAATTGAGATATTTGTTGCCTGAACAGAATACGGCACCCCTGTATCCCAGGAAAAGCAAGAAAGGTTAACCAAAAAAGAAGAAGGAAAATATTGTTCATATTCTCTTTGCTTTCTGATGTGTGGCTAAGCCCTCTGAGAAGAATTGTCTGCTGCTCACAAGAAAGAAAAGCTCCCTGTCAGGCAGTGATCAGAGAATGCAGCAGCTCTTTTTCTCAAATTGCACAGATAGCAAATCAATGAAAAATACACTTCTATTGTGTTATCTCATCCTGGCCTTTCTGACTGGTATTCATTGCCTGTCCTGTTAACCTGAAATGCCCCTCTGAGTCATGATTCTGCCTCACCTTKTCCTTTGAATATGAGGTCTCAAGTCCCTCCTTAGACCTGACAAAAGTAATTACCTTTTTTTTTGTCCAAGAAATTTATTTGATTCACTTATTTTGATAGCATCCTTTTTTTCAAAATAAAGAGACAACATGTGTAACAATCTCCATAGAGAGGGAAATTATTTCTGTTTTCTGGACAGACACTCCTAATATTGATTATTTTGAAAAGGTTTAATTGAAAGAAGGCAAGGAATTCACTAATTAAGAATGAAGAAAAAAATTTAGTTAACAATATGTAATTCTCCATAGGGCTTCTCTGACCTAAAACCCTTGAAGTTATCATAAAAGTGTCTATAYATTCTACTCGTCAGTGGGTCTAGTCTTAAGGAAGTCACATATGTCTCATTTTGAAAGAATTTAAGTAGTACTTTGATAATGATGGAACACACAAGTGAGTGCTGCACCCTTTTTCTGCTGAAATAACGCKTAGCATTGCAGGTCCCTGAAAGGAAGGTGTTGGGATTTTCCTGGAATCATACAATTCTGCCTCTGCCAGCTGCAAAGGAAATGAATGCCTTGGSCTGGGTGACTTCATCCTAAAGAACTGGAGGCCGATTATCAGTGTTATTTCCATTAAGTGTCAATGTAAATTGAAATGCGCCTGCCTATCTGTAAAAAATCTCCCATACCTGTCCTTTCTGAGTTTAACCAAGAGGCTACAGAACCTTATTTTTTCCTTCCTGATTTTTCCTTCATTGAGAGCTCATCAAACTCTGCCACTGGTATTGTATTCTTTCATTTTCAGGTCAAAGCAACTGGCAAAAAGTCCTATCTCCTGTGCAAATGTGAAAAAATAGTGTCTGTTGATAGTGGGAGATGAATATTGCTTTTATGATTTCTACTCTTCTTTCCTTTGAGAGTTACAAAATTCTGCATTACKCTTACAAGGTGATCAATAATATTTAACTTTTCCAGACATTACTCACATTCCTCATGATGTGGCACTTTCTCTTTATTATTTCTAAGGACAGTGAAGGAGGAAACTAGACAAATCTGTATTTGTGTCTTCAAGATTGTACTGAGGAGAGCACAGAATCTTTACAAAATAAGTATTAGCAGCATGCAACTTCCAAGGGAAATTATATACCTSCCCAAAATACCCTCTCACACACTTAGACAAAGCTTAGAAAGAGGTGATTCTATAATATCTTCATTAGACCTTTGCTCATTCAGTTCTGTAATCAGCAAGATGTATTTGCCTTTAAAAGGTCATTTGATCTTTTATTGTGCTATGAATCACAACTGCCTCTGAACTAATATAAAGCTTTCTTTAGTGTTCTCAGTGTAAGACTTTTTCATAACTCTAAGTYGCTCTCTAGAGGGTCTGCAACCTTTGCTAATCGAGGAACCAGTTTAAAACTGGAACCAGTGAGAGATAGCATACAAAAGAAATAAGAATATTTCAACTATAGTAACCAGAGAACATTCACATTTACACTACTCTGTCAAGTCTTTAATCCCTTCTGAAAATAAATTAGGTACTCTAGACCCCTATTAAAAATAGATACATTCCTTTACAATAGGAAAACAATACTTCTTTCTCAAAGACTAAAACATTTGTTTAAKCATGCAAACACTTTTATGGAACAGTTTTATGTGTCTCCATTTTATCTGAGTGATAATGAACATTAAATACTTGGTAAATAGTAAACATCCACAGAAGCAGAGCAAGGACTACTTTCAACTAAGGAGAAAGAAAATAATATAATGTATAGRGTCAATTTATGATTATARTGTCTCTAGTCTCTTTGRAATGACAGTATAAAATCTATTTCAAAGATTCAGCCAGTTAAGTATCAAATTCCTTTGCACCTTTTACCTCTATTTAAAAGGCAAAGTAAAGTAGAAACAGTGATCATAATACAGGTTTACAAGATGCCTTCATACTTAGGCTGTAGAACATCCCTACAGACTTAYAAATCCTTATTATGCACTAGTGTAGCTGCGCATTTTTATTTTGAAGATTTCCGATCTCTTTCCAGGTACTGATAAGTACCTGCAAAAAGAAACAAATCTCACACAAACATGGTTTCCTGGCAGGTTCTTACCAGATACAGGCCTGGAGGACACCAGAGAGTGGTGAGACTGAGAGATTTAATCTAAATAGAATGAATCATTGAACCATAGAAAGGTTTGGCTTGGAAGGGACCTTAAAAATCACCTATTTTGGACCCCTTTGCCATGGACAGGAATACCTTCCACTCAACCGGGTTGCTCAAAGTACCATCCAACCTGGCCTTGAGTGCTTGCAGGGATGGGGCATCCACAGCTTCTCTGCAGAGTGTAATACCAGATTAGCAGAAGAGTTACAGGGCTTCGTAGTAAAGATTCTTAATCTATAAGTGGAATGGGAGGGAGATGCATGCAAACTCAGCAGTGCATCAATTTTCCTCGGGCTGCTTTTTCCCAGGTGAAGTTTAACTTCACGTGCTGGACCAGTCTATGATGGATTTGACTGAAGATTTTCTGCCAAAATTATTTTTCAGTGAAAAACACTAGCAACAACAAAAAAAAAAAAAATTAAGCATTCTGCAAAACATTTTGATTTATCTTGCAAATTTTTGCCAGTAAATTAGAAAACTAAAATGAAGTATTCAATTGCAAGAAAACCCATCTCTAACTAGAATATTGTGTTTTCCATCCTGGATGTTTAATTTTGGATCACTCCCATAAAATATTACAACGCATTTCACTATCAGTGCACTTGGTGACAATCATGTTAARATCCACTATTTTCTGCTTTCTGAAGCATGGCAGTTCGTTGCAGGGCTAATTTCACTATTGRTGGTTACAGGAGTGGCCAGCAAGGATTCTGGGTCCATAATGAAGGCTTGGGACATGAGAACCACAACCTTCACATCCATGGGGTAAGGCAGCAGAGGAGACAATCCTCTTCTAATCATGTGGATCAGAACTATCTGCTTTGATTTAGTTCATGCAATCCAGAGGATGGGTATTGGTTTCTGAAGTACTAAAATATTTTCAAAATATAATCTGTTATAGAAAGAAAATGTCTGAATTTCCAACAACAYAAGTATTTGAAATTTCCCTCAGCATATTGACTGTCAGCTATTGATGGACTCTTT